AAAAAACACATCTTAGTAAAACCAATACCTTGTCATATTTAAAAAATAGTTTAATAAAATAAGTTTACTAATACAGACATAAGATCACTTTTAATTAAAAAAGGTATTTAATTATAGTAATTTTATAAAATTTAAAATTTTTCCAAGAATAAATGTCAATACCTAAAACAATAATTTCAAAAAAAAGAAAAATTATTAATTTAGATGAAAAATACATAAATATATTATAAATTAAACAGTACTAAATAATATTTAAGAAATTTATGTAGTAGGCAAAGAATTTATTGGTGAAGAAATAGTTGGAGGAGAAGTATTTGATGGATTAGTAATTGTAGGATTAGTTGGTATAGGGCTTGTTGGCATACATATTGTACTTGACGGATTAGTCATTATAACTGTAGTAGGCACATAATCTAGAATAGGTGTATTAAAATTTGAAGAACTAGTTGATTGATTATCAATAGTGGTTGGAATTAAAACAGTAGAATTATGGTCATTGACGTCAGATGCTGCATTAGGAGGTGAAGATTTTCTGGAAACAAGAATATCTTTTAGACTAGTTTCAGGTGTTTTGTCAGTGTCAATACAGGTTGGTGTTGGACTTTTAGACTTTTCGCGACTAGCTAATGGACTAGCAGGCGGTGAAGGGCTATCAATTTCAATAATACTCTGTTCAGAACTTGTGACAGCCTGTCGTGGTTGAACAAGAGCTGTTGGCTTTGATATTTCAACTATAGGGGCTAGTTCTTCTGCATCAATAGCTTGTGCTTCATTTTCCAGTTTTTCTTTTTGTAAAGGCATATCTTCATCATCACTTATAGTTAAATCTACAAATGTATTTAATTTTTCTGGTTCTTTAGAAACTTGTGAAGGTTTTTCTTTGGGTTCATTTTTGGATTCATCTGGTTTAACAGTGTCATCATCATCACTATCATCCAAATTAACTGAATCAATAGGTTTATCTTTAGGAGTATTTTCTAAATGTTTGGTTTTATTTCGTTCTTCAAAAACTCTCCAAGTACCATCTGCAATTATTTCAATTTCTTTACAATTGTCAGGAAGAGAAGGACTTGTAACTACATCTAAGAAATACGACTCAATTCTTATATCATCATATAAACAAGCTTTATTGCAAGTAGGGCACATCCATGTGGGTTTTTTTTCATTCATTAAAATAAATATACTGGCATCAAAACACTGTAAATGATCACAATTAATGGATTTGGCTGGAATTGTCATTCTCATTTTTCCTAAAGGACAAACTAATGAGAAACGATATGATGTAGTAGCTAAATCTGGATCTACATCAGCTAATTTTTTAATAATATTATTTTTTGTTTCCTCTGAACTTCTTGCACCTTTTTCTTGAAGTCTTGATAATAAAGTTTCTGAACTTAATTTTTTAACTAAATATATTCCTAAGACATAAGTTTTACCATCAGGAATCCAATTGATAGTAATAGTGTTAATAATATTGGGATTTAATTTGAGAAGTTGAGTACAGTTAATAGGCCTTGGAGTACGTCTTGATTCAGTTCCAGGTCGAGTGTTAGGAGCATTTGGTGGTAATGGACACACTTTACCACATGCACGAATATGAAGACCTAAGGGCATGAAATCTGAGATTTCAGGACCTGGTTCTAGTTGACAAATACGTATTTGCATTTGATATAAATATTCATTTTTTCCATTTGATATATCACGGTTCATAGCAATATGTGTAGCATGCTCAGGCAGTAATAAAAGTTTAAAAGATGATTCTCTCATACCTAATAATAAAATTAAAATAGAATTAAATTATTTAAAAAGGAATAGAAAGACTAACAAATAAAATTTTGTAATTACCTCTAGGAACATTTTGTAAAGAACATCTTTCTTGGCCAATCAAAGTTGTAGGTTTAACAACTTCACTAATAACTTCATAAAATGGTAATTTTTTTAATTTAACATTAACTTGTGAATGAGTAGCTTGATTATACATATTATTAGCTGTATTGATATCATACGACCCAACATCTTGTTTAACCAAATGTTGATTTGTTGATACTTGTGATACAATCCCCCGAGATCCAGGTGTTTGATAGCCATATTGCATGTTATTACTTCCATACATTCCTCTTTGCATTTGAGGAATCACTTGTGGTAGACCAGTTCTTGATAAATGCATGGCTTGTTGTGTGAATTGCTGAGGCTGATACATTCGGGATTGTTGGGATTGCTGCATATTCATTGGCATCATATGTTGTTGTTGACTTTGCATCATGTTACGCATCATATCATTATTTGTTATAGGTATATCACTTTGTATTGAACGAAATATTTCTGTTATTTTTGTTAGATAAGCATGATAATTGAAACCAACAGGTCTATTTCTTAATAAATCTAGAGCACGTTCTTTAAGCTCAGATTTACGACCTGCTTTATTTCGACCAAATGCTCCTAATAATGCCTGTAAATCATGAGTCCGAAAACTTCCCAACATAGTTCTGTAAGCAAGTTCTGTTTGTCCTTCATTATACGAACTCATTATTTCAACTATAAATAAGTATTTAAAAATTAGTATTAAAATAGAAACTAATAAAAATAAATTTCATTAATTTAAACCAAATTTAATTGTAATATAATTAATAATATACATATTGTACTTAAGCTATAAAATTTAAACATTTTTAAAACTCCTAAATTATAATATTAATAACATTTCAAAACATCTAACAATATAGGCAGTAGCTCCATTTGTCAATTTTTCTGGAGAAGAAAAAGAAAATCCAGATTCTAATTCTATTTTTCTTATTCTTTTTAAAAATCACTATATTTAATTTTAGGGTGTCAAAAAGACATTTTTGAATACTGATAAAATATTATTAATATTTTTATAAATTTACACATACAAGTTTATTCATCAGTAGCCATCATCTTGAGATATTATAAAAATGCTAGTTTATTATGTCTTTTGGATAGTTAGTTACAATTATTTTCTTGGTTAATAAAGATTCTTTAATAGAATATAGTCGCAACTTAAAAACAAAAAAAATGAAGTTACAACCTTTTTTTTTTTTTGGATATACTAATTTATAGACAAATGTAGAAGTGGCAATAAAAAATAATGTAGTACCTATAGATAAATTTTCATGAAATGGGTTTTATATTTTCTTCATAAGAGAAGTTTTAAAATTTTTACTTAAGTGAACATATTGTAACACATACATTTTTTTTATAATTTAACGCTGTTATAATATGTATTTTTCATAAGGTTTTCATCAGATTTTTTAATAATTTGATATTATAACATTTCACATTTAATGTTTCTTTTTATGACTAAATAACAAGTATAAAACAAATTGTATTTTTTAATCAGATCTACACAAAAAAATACAAATAGAAAACACATCATTAAGTATGAATTGAATTTTGTAGTATATTTCTCTAATTAATGGCATATGAAGTATTTTAATCAATTGAGTTTAGTTTAAGAGCTTATTTTTATTTTAACTATAAATGAAAGTTAGCATTCTCCTTAATAGTTAAAGCATCTATACTTCAAAGAATATTTCTCAGAATACATCACATATTTATTAGTGTTAACGTTAGATATCTTGTATAATAAAAAATAACTACATACTGTGAATATCGAAGTGAAAAAAATAAACTAAAAGATGATTTACTAAATGAAAATTATAAAAATTTACATAATATACTTATGAAAAATATCTTCACATAATATTATATTAAAAATTCATACTAATATTAATAATAGCTAAAATTTTGGATCAAAAGGTAATTCAAATATTATGTTCATTATATATAAAAATTAACATTTTCATATTGTTGTTTATGACACCAAAAAAAATAATTATAATTGAAAGATTGAACATAAAATAAAGTTATATGCACGAATGATTATAATCAATTACCGCACTGACAAGCGTGGTTATAGATATAGCCGTGGTTTTAAACTATGTTACCATTTATCACATGGCATGTATTTTTCTTTCATTGTCTATAATTTTACCATAAATTCAAAGTTCAATTGTCTAAAAATGTCCAGACATCAGGGAGCACCCAATTAAAAAATATGATGGAGTGAAATATATTTTACTGGTTAAAATTTTGTGGCTACTCCTCCAGACGATTCTTTTGATCATATTTGAAAGGCCAAAGTTGGACAAAGAGGATTTTTTTTAAAGCTTGACTAATTAAATTAAAAAAAAAATTGAAATGTTAGCAGCTTTTTTTTATATTTTTAGCGTTTTGACAAAAACTGAATTATAATGCGTTCAAAAAGGTATAAATTTTCTGTCGGAACTAGGTCAGTCAATTTATTAAAGAAACTATTACATATGCTATAGCAGCTATAGTATAGCCTCTATAGCGATTATATAAGCGCAATCTGGGAAGGGTCTAACCTTTGCAAATTCTGTCATAACCTCATAGAAATCAAATTTAAAAAAATATATTTATTGTTTAATTAATATAAATCTTAAAGAGGGTTGAAATTGAGTGAGATATTCCAAGATACGATGGAGGTCGTATTACAAAATGCGAGTGACAAGCTACTCGTTACACTTTGTATGTTAATATTAACTACACGTTATTTAAACAAAATTTCGCAATGAAATCAAAGTGACTTAGATTTATAATTTTTCAAGGTTTATTGTTTCAAGAGAGAAGAAGAAATTCGACGTTATGGAACCTTGTATAAAAATTTCTTGCTGTGTGGTAGGTTTGAACGTTTACTAGCCCTTTACAGGCAAAGCTAAAAACTTAATAAAAGAGACAAGGCGGGTCACGGGTGACCAAATAGATTTTTATTCACTTTTATCATTATTTAGTACCTTTTTTTAATTTATAAATGTTTATTCATAGATAAAAATGTATTTTTATGCATGAAGGGTAAATTTAAATGTATATTAAAACATGCTCCGGTCACGGGTGACCCAGCCTTGCCTGTTAAAGGCTATGAATTATATTATAAATAAATTAAAATTCAATTTATTTCCTAAATTGAATCTTAACAAATGCACTTTCAGTCGTCTAACGTAAAATTAAATGTTGACAAAAGTAGCATTTATACGAATTGATTGTAGTGGCATAGTTATCGAAAAATTCAACAGTCCCACGTGCTAAAGGATCTTGGCATGGTATGAATTTTGCCTAACGAAATATTAGTATGAACGTAAGTAGGGTGCATATAAGTTACATAAGATTCATATTCATTAAAATTATGGTGATACAATGGCCTTTTTGTAGTGAGAGGGGCGAAGGTGTCTGCCACCATTGATAGCAAGTTCTCAAGTAGTATAGAACTTTGTACATTTTTTTCAACGACTCCTTTAATCTGAAAACTTAGTTACGCCATTGTCGTGATATACTCTAATCTTATGTATATATTTCAAATCCGCTTGTGGTATTTATTAATTATTAACACTTACAATCCTATTATAATTAGCAGTAGTTCGTTTTGTATATCATAACACGATGCTCAGTAATTTATGTTATCAATTGTAAACAATGAACATAATGTGACTGTTACTTATAAAAGTAAGATATTATCACAGAGTATATTATGTTTTTTACTGTTATTATCCGAACTTCAAAAATTCAAATTGGAATTAACCACATGAAAAAATATTTAAACAAACATCTCGTCCGTTAAACACTATTTTGATATTTTATATTATTAACCAGTTGCAATACCATTTGTATGAATTTCAATAATGATTTAAGTATAATAGTGAGTTATGATACCAGTATCTTATGTGCTGAATTTAAACATTTTTTTTTTTAAATGTGCTAATAGAAATATCTTTTTAGTAAAATGCTTAAAGTACGTAATATTTAAATAATAATATGAATTTATAGTCATCATCTTGGTGTACCATTTTGTTTCATCCGTCATTTATCAAAGGTAATTCATTATAAATCTATGGCGTGAATATATATTTTTTATTTGTCCTATTGAAAACAATTTTATTAGTTTTTATATTGTTTATAAATCATTTTATTATGACTGATTTGTTTAATCAAAATCTTATTATTTTTTACAGTTAAAATTTAAAGACAAAAAAAGTAAGTAGTACTGATCAATTTTTTGTCAACATTTTTAAGACACCTTGTTGGTGAACAATTACATATAATTGTTATTTTTAAGTAAAATGTTATTTGTTGAAATTTTTAATAGATCAAAAATTATGGGGCAGAATTTAGATTATGTTAAAACAATTGTGAGAAGTGTTCTTACTAGTTCACCTGGACCTATAACTGTGTCCCAACTTCAAAAAGACTATTATGATTTAGAAGGAGAAACTATACCATTTAAGCGATTAAACTATTCTACCGTGTTTAAATTGTTAAATGATATGAAAGACGTTTTAAAAGTGAGCAATTATATTTCTACCTGATTTTTATTTGTAAATTATTAATAATGAAATTTAATGTTATTTTATCTTAAAAAGTTTTTATAAAATATTAAAATTATTCTATAGTATTTAGTAAGGGTAGAAACATGTTTCTATGCACAGAGTTTCGGGTTTGATCCCTAAGGTACCAACGAGATTTTTTTTGGGATTTTTTCATTGGTGGTCTTGTACAAGCCAACTTTAATACTCGTTCCTTTCAACATTGGCTTAGCCAAGAACCAACTTTATCTCCCTAATGTGTGAGGGAAGGCAAACACCCTATGTAGCATATTAAGTTTGGAAAATAGAAAGTATCTAAAACTAATCATTATTTTTCTATAGTATCTAGTGCCTACACTGCATATTTTAGTAAAGAAAGTATAAGTTGATTTCTTCATTTAGAGTTGTGTATTTAATATTTCAAATCATGTGTAAGCCCTTAGTAAGGGAATAAAGATAACTTTTTAACATCATAAGGTAATATTTAAAAGTTATTATTTTAGTCATTGGCTATGAAAATAACACATTTTATTAAATTATGAAGTGTTTCCAAAGTATGAAATTTGAATATGTGTAGAATAATAATAGCCTATAATCATGTAAATTTTTTGAAATACATTTAATTTCTTGTTTACTTTAATAAATATAGATCTTTTAAAAAATTTGTCCGAGAAACATATTTGATAAAATCAATAAAAGTAAACAAAAAGTTTGTTGACAGAATTAATTTGTGTAGACTAAAACGAGAAAACATTTTGAGTATGTGATATTTCATAATTATATCAGGACATGCCAAATGTAAAGATACAAAATAAAATATTTTATGTAAAATTTAAATTACTTAATTTAATTTAATTTTACTTTTAGAACTTTTGTTATTTATTAATATTCTTTCATCTTTTAAATATATAGGACTTTGAAGTCTTTATGGATACAATTAAATTTATTTGATATATGGTTAAATTTTTTTATTTCACTGTATTTTAAAAGAATTAAAAAATATATATTAAAGTAGAGTCACTCTCTATAACCACCTGAATATCCCTTATGGTCATTTTTTATTTAAGTAATAAAAATTATTGTATCAAATATTGTCTTCAAACACTACTAAAAATAAATATAAATGATTTAATTTTGGTTATGTTATTGATAAAAATAGTTTACTATTTACCAGAGAAAAATATATTTTTTTGCCATAGATAGGAAACTGGCCGTAATGGGTGCCTCATCCTAAAAAGAGAAATTGGTATATTTGCCTACTGGGCTGCTAACTGTAGAGTGATGAAAGCTTTTTTTTTTTTTAACATGGTCGACATTATGTTGGACGCCCTGGAACTACCGTGAGGTATTGCTTCAGGGCGAGAGTGATGAAAGCTGCTATGAATAAAATAACCCAATTCGTAAAATTTATCATTTTGTGCCCATCACTTCATTTTGTAGTGATAAAGATCATCATAATTTTTGAGTCTTAACTCGTTGGGTTCTTAGTATGTCTTTGACCCTAATCCTTGAATTTGATTTTAAGTAATGTCATTAATTTACATTTACAGGTTCCTGAAAATCCTAATATGTTTTCACTTTTATATGTTATTGCAAATGATAAGACAACACATTTGAGAAAACTTGTATTGAACCAAAAAAGAAAAAAAATTCGCCCTAAAAGATTTGTCAGTTCTAAGAGTAGCTTTGGCAATCATGATTATTCTAGAAATAATTTTTCTCCCAATAATAATTATAACGGAGTTTTTAATGAACGTGGCTATAATTATATTAAATCTTACTCAAATTCATTAGGTTCATTGAATGGAAAAGTTACAACAGAATTGCAAAGTTTTTTGGAAAAAGAATGTCAAAAAAATCCAAATGTAGGTTTAAAATAAAGGTTTACATTATACATACATATATATATAATGAACTAAATACATACATACTAACAATAACATAGTTATCAAAATATTTATTTGTGGTTTTTTACTTATTATATTTTTATGATATTTCGAGCTATATATTTTTAAATAATATCACAATTATACATTAATTGTCATTTATTTTTGTTGTATGTCTTAACAATTATTTATTGCTTAATTTATTTTATACAAATATTTTTTTTTTGAAAAATATATAAAAACTATAGTTAGACACACTATATTTACAAATTTCTTTTTAAGTTAAAAAACAAATCTTGCTAATGGCTTTTTGGATTTCTTAGCTATATATGTGTAAGGGTGATTTTCTACAATACAATATAACTTAGTAAACTTCAAGATAGATTATATAAAATGTTGTGTAGTTATTATAAATTACTAACCTTACATATTTTTCGGTTAATATTTCATTTAAAATAACTCCTATTTTTTTTTATTACATTAGCAGCTGATTTATATAACAAAAATTATAATTTTTTTATAATAATACATTTCTATTTAGGGTATACCTCTCAGCGTATTCAAGGAAGTTTTATTGAAACATAATGATTACAAATATCTAAAAACAGTTGGTGTTCAAGAATCCATAAATATGTTAAAAAATTTTATTTATATTGAAAGAGGTCGAGTTTATCTTAAAAGTAATCAATATTTTAATATATTACTATTTTACTTTTCATACAAATCATAAGTGTGTCCTCTGAGAGTACTTGGTAACTAAATTCAAAATTTGATAAATTTAAGTATTTTAAAAAATTTTGAATTATCTAAATTTTTTTTCTTAACAAATACTTTATATGATATAGGTATTATTTTTTAACTTTTTGTGGGTAGGATAATACTTTTCACCCTTATTATTGAGCTTCATAAACATGACTTTTGAAAAAGTCTGGACACGCTTATGATATTAATGTTTTATTCACTTTAATCAGTAGTATTGTGTTAGAGTAAACTTAAGGACATTATCTCCTACTATATTAAAAATAATAAAAAAATATTTTCAATTATTAGTGTTATTCAAGTTTTGTTGATTGTGGTAAGCTCCTATACCAGTCATTAGAGGTTACATCAGGTCTATAGCCAGTGTAAAATTTTGTTAAAAGTATGAGCAGTCCAGAACAAAACTTAGGCGAATTTTCCCATATCAGATGTATGCAGGGACAACATGTGAGAGGAAATATAGTAGTTAGAAACAGAGAAGGCCTATGAGAATGCTTAAATGGTTAGGTGGAGTGACTAGAGAAGATAAGATAAGAAACGAATATATATATGAGGTGTATAATTTTCTGTTATTTTGAGCTATTTTTGGAAAGTATGACTTACAATATAGAATGGTTGAAATGTCAGTTTCAACTTAAATAAATAGGAAAATAATTTAGTGATTGGAGGAGAATTGCTGCAATAATGTAGGTTGTAATCTTATATTTTATTACATTTGTAATTTGTCTTAATAATTTAGAAGTCTTTATAAACAAATAAATGTATTTATTAAGCATAAGACTCAATTTTTTATAACTAACTTAATGTAATGATTTTTATATTGATAAATTATTGTAATCCAATGCTTAAAACGCAACATTTTTTTTCCTATGTATTATTTAGTTAAATATTAAGAACATCTTAATGTTTTTATTAAAAAAATAAAAATTCTAATCTATAATATGTTTACAACTTTGCAACATAGGAGTTTTAATAGTTATCAAAATCTATTTAATTTAGTATAACTAAAAACTGTTAAATAATGTTTTTAATGATATCTGTGAATTTTCTTATTTTTTTTTTATTAAATTTAAAGTGTAGTTGAACTTGTATTTTACTATATAAAAATTATTTTTATTTAAGGTTCTAATCCTATGCTAAATAGAAGTAAAACTGTTGACTTAAACAAAAGTAATTGTTATCAATCTTTATTCACTAAAGATGATTGTGAGTATTCTGAAGATGATATAAATTTTTTTGAGGATGAATATGATAATGATGAATATGAATATTTTAAAAAGAAACCAATCTTAGAACCACCAGTTACAAATGATGAAAAATATGAAAATACAAATAATTTTTCTGGTTAGTGTGAATAATACGAAAAAATTTATTTATTATATTGTTATTAAAACATTTATTTAAAATACTTATGAAGATAGTAAAACATTGGTGTATTCCTGTTTTTTACTATGAAGATTATTAAGTTTACAGCTTTGCATTGTATGCTAAAAGATGAATTATTTAGATAATTTCTCTTTTTTTTTTTATGTAATGTATTATTTAAAATTTTTATTAAGTTTTCATAGGTATGTTGAAATGATTTTAAAATATAATCTTTTAATTATTTACCTTGAACATTTATTATTAAAAATATATTATCTTAGATGAGCAATTCAGTTGATTGAAAAAATTTTACTGAATCAATATTTCTTAATTTTGTATTAAATAATTTGATTTAACCAAATAGTATTAAATTGTATTATATTGTATTATTTGCTGGATCAAGAGTTATTAAGATGTGCAGAACATAGTGGACACATTTTGTCAATTTTTAATTTTTCATATTATATATTTAATAGATATTTTAATACTATTTTAAATTTGATGCATAATTGAGAAGGCATGGATTTACTTTGATGGATTTTTTAAAGTTTATTTTAGTTATGTTTAATAATTTCTATAAGAAAATATTTTTTAGTTATTATACTATAAAAAGGCATTGTATTAGAAAAAAGTATTACTAAAGTAGTATAAGTTGTTACTTCATTAGTAAATATAAATATAGTTTTTGTTTTAATATTTTTCAGCTGAAACAAATAGTTTCCCAGAAGAATTGAAAGGAAATAATTATGAAAAATTGTGTCCTTCAATTAGCGAGTCAGATCAATCAAGAAATATTTGTTCTATTCAGACTATCAATAATTCAAATGTAAAAATAGTAACACAAATAAAAAATAATTGCTTAGAATTTTTCTATTGATAAATTACATATTTACAAATAATTTTAAAATTGATTTTTGTATTATTAACATTGTAGATTGATCAACAAATGAAGAGAAATGATTCAAAAAATATGCTTTCAAAAACTAAATGTAAGCCATTTATTTACTAAGTGAGCTTAAATTTTAAATATAAAAATGGTTTGTTATCTATAATATAGAATTATAATGTGAGGTCATATGAGTATGTAATTTTGCTCTACTTTCTTAATGACTGCCTAACACTCTGAACCATACATCATAAATGATCTCACTACAGCTTTGTAGAACTTACCTTTCAGTTTCATTGGCATTTTCTTATTTAAAACTTCTCTCGGTACTCTATTATATGCTCTCTCCAAATCTATAAATAACATACACAGCTTTTTCTTCTTTTCCATATACTTTTCTATTAGTTGTCTGACACAAAATAATGGACTTCTTTGTCCATTGTTGACTTTTCAAGCATAAATCCAAACTGNAATCAAATAGTAGGGAAAAAGGGTGCTGCTAAAACTCTTGGCACATCATAATTTATAGTTCTCTAAAATAAAATTATAATTTAATTGTTCTTGTGAAGAAAAAAAATTATCTAATCATTCTCATCTCTGCTATACTTATATTCTGCTCTACTTTCTTAATGACTGCCTAACACTCTGAACCATACATCATAAATGATCTCACTACAGCTTTGTAGAACTTACCTTTCAGTTTCATTGGCATTTTCTTATTTAAAACTTCTCTCGGTACTCTATTATATGCTCTCTCCAAATCTATAAATAACATACACAGCTTTTTCTTCTTTTCCATATACTTTTCTATTAGTTGTCTGACACAAAATAATGGACTTCTTTGTCCATTGTTGACTTTTCAAGCATAAATCCAAACTGATTTTTAAATACTGTTGTCCAATTTTTTTTTCTCTTATCTATTACTATTTTCTAAATCTATATTATGATTCATAAGCTTTATGCCTCTATAATTTCCACACTCCTATATGTTTCCTTAGCCTTTAAATAATTACACCACAATACTATTTCCCCATTCTTTTAGTATTTTCCTATGTAATAGGATTTCATTAAAAAGATTCTTCAACTACCTAACGCCAACACTGCTTAATATTTTCTATACTTCTACTAGTACTTCATCAATTCATTGTTGCTTGATAAGAGGCACCCTCTTACCAGCACTTTTTATACACCTTACATAGTGATAAATTTTAGACTATTTTGCCATTACTTTTGCAAGTTTATAGATTTGTTTTTCACTTTCCTTTGTTCCTGGACTATCATACAACTCATCATACCTTTTAAATATCGCCTTACTTACCGTACACTTCGCTTCTTTGCACAAGCGTTTATACTCCATCAAATCTTTTCTCCGTTTGCTCTTATGACATACTTTGAACTGCTTTTTCTTACTCTCTATGATTTTTTGAACGTCCACATCCTACCACCAGGTTTCCTTGTTGGCATTCTACTCCTACTCTCATCAACAATCTCCTTTCTAATATTTTTAACACAACTAGTAAATATATTCCACACATAATTTATGACTCCCTCGACATTCCACACCTCTCTTTTATTGTTTTTAAAAAAATTTTTTCGTTTTTCCCTTTCAATTTCTACCACAGGATAATTTATTTTCCTTCTGTGTTCTTTCTGCTTTTGTATACTCTTTTCCCATTACCATTAGTCTATGTTGTGTAGTTACACACTCGCCTGTGATCACTTTATACTCTCTCTTTTCTACATAAAATAATCTATCTGTGATCTATTACACCCACTTTTATTAGTTACATAATATGCTTTCTTTTTCTAAAAGAAATACTTTTTCTAAGTATTAACCATTACAATACTCCAAAATCTAAGATTATTTCTCTAGTTTCATTCTTTCTACATGTCCATTCATATCTCTACCAATCACCACATCCTCATTGCCAGATATTCCTTGCATCTCCACATCCATCTCTATCCAAAACACTTGTGTATTTCATCACTTCATACTGTTACGTTGCTATTTAGGGGTTGAGCCTTAATGCTCGTCAACAGTATTCTAAGGGACCAAAGGGATAGCTGGCTAGGCTATATCTACCTTAGATACTGAGGTTTCCTATTTAATTTATATTCTTTTAGAGTAATTACCAAGGGTCGTACTACAATATATATATATATATATAACACTCTTGGTTAACAATGATATAAATATTTATTATGTAACAATATATTAAATAAATAGTACAACCTACTGGACACCTAGAGATGATATAATCCAACAGGGAGCTAACGGCGACACACACACTATTTACGTGGTAGGTGTGTTAAGTTAATTATAAGACAAGAGTAATGGTCGCGATGATGGTAAAAAGTCAACTGTCGTTAGGAGATATATTATTATGACACATTGGCCGTGAATTGCAAAAGTGTTTATGGTGCAGTCTGCCCTCCTGTAGTAATACGTGTGTCACTGTGTCAATGATATAAGCCTAGTCGACATTATAATAATAATATGAGATATGATCACATAATGTGATCTCATCAAATTTTTAAAAATTAATATACCCATTATTTTAAATTAAATTATTTCTATTCCACTTAATTTATTACATTGTGTTATAGTAACAACAATTAAAATTGTTCAATTTTTTTATAACAAGATTATTAACCCAATAAGAAATTATTTCTAATAGTTTCAAAATAGATGAATTGATTAATTTTATTAATAAAAAAAATTATTGTAAAAAAAGTATGATTCATAAGTGTTTATGCTTCTTTAAAGAGTAAATTTTGATTTTTTGAAATTTATTTTTAATTGCTTAGTATTTTATTGATAATTGAATATTTTCCTTCAAAAAGGTACTCCATTTTGGGCCATTTAGAGTTAAACATCCTATGTTGTAAGAAAAATGAAGTTTTTTAATTGATACTTCAAAAAATCATTTATGTGTATTTGCTTTCAAGTAATTAAAAAAATAAAATAATAACGCCATAGTTTTTTATGGAATTAAAAAACTTTTTTAAAGATTTTTTTTAAATTAGGAAATATGAAGCTACTTTCTTTTTTAGAACTCTTAAATTTTAAACATTTTGAATAATTATAGTTTTAATTTTATGATTAGGTTTGCATGTATTATTATATGAATTTACATACGTAAAATATGTTTGCATTTTTTTATTTTACTAGTTAAAAATCAATTAAAGTCTACAAGCGCTGATATTGATTATAAGCAAGTTATCATTAATATTTTATCTAACTATCAAAAACCAGTAACTGTTCAAGTTGTGTTAGAAAAATTTAAGGATTTGTATGGATATGAATTTCCTCATGAACGTCTCTCTTGCAGAACTGCTATGGACTTTTTTCGTCTACACCCTGCACATTTCAGAGTATATTTTAATAAATGATATCTTATAATAATTGTTTACTTGTTCACATTTTATTTTTTTAGTTAAAAGACCAATATTCTACTAATAGTATTGTTACATTAGAAACTTCTGGTATAAAGCCTGTTAAAAGAACTTCTACAATGAGACATAAATTATTAAAATATAGTAAGTTTAAAATAATGACTATGCTTGGAAATCGTTCAACAAATATGTAGTATTTTACTGTAACTTGTTCGAATAATGATATTTTTTAAAGTATATTTATAAATCAATATATATATATATTTTTAGCTATTGATAAAATAAAACCAGAAATCATATCTATATTTTTCCAATTGCGACAAGAAGTCCTTGAAGATGTCCAAAACAACAAATCTGAATCTTCCATACCAAAAAGTACTTCTCTTTATCAATCTTGTGAAAGTGTTTATAGTAGATGGTAACTATTATTGTATTATTTTTATCTATTTATAAAACTTACATAAACTAAATGTTATGATATAAAATATAAAAAAAAGGTATAATTAGTTTTAGAAAATTCTTTAAAATATTGCCTATATACATTGATTTTGTGTGTTTTAATCTTAAATCAGAGCCAGCAGTCTTGATACCATTAGTCTAGTTATAACCATTTCTTAATAACTTTAAGTTGGAAATTAAGTTGATAATACTTCCTAATACCTGTCTTTTTTCTATGAAAAAAATTTTCTTGTAGAATAATCTTTTTTGTAATGCTTGAATTGTATTGATATGCATATTCTTTTGAAATTTTTAGTTCTATTATTTGTTGTTGAAATAATAATAAACTTTTCTACAATAGCCACAGTGATACAGCATCAAATCGTTCCAATGAAGAATATGATTCTTATATGATTAGAGATAGTATGAAAGAAAAAATGCGAGCTCTTCTTGCAAAACATAAAAATGGTATAAATTGTAATGATTTTATCTATCTATATGATGTAAGTTTATATGAATATTTTAAAAATTTGTAATTTATAATAAACCTACTTTTTATTAGAAAATGTATAGCAGTTCATTCACATTTCATGAGTATGGCTTCAAAAGTATGAGTGATATGGCTTACAATATTCCCTCTGTATTTCATGTTGAAATTGAAGAAGACACTAATGAATGCATATTACATCAAGCATCCAAACGTGATCTACTAAGCCAGACAGAACTATGTAAGTTTAATTATTCAATTAATGGTTAGTTTAATAATATACTGAATTATCTAATTACAGATTCTGTTCTAAGTTATAAAAATATTCCTAAAAGTGTACTTTACCACCTTTCAAAATTATTCAAAAATATTAAGAATGGTGTTCATATTAATAATGTAAAACAGATGTATATTGTAAGTATTTTAATTCTATTATTGTAAAGTATTTTTTACTTAAAACTTATATTGTAGGCAGAATTTGGTCGTCGTTATGAATCATTAAAATATGGATTTTCCTCTGAAAGACATATGTTTGAAATATTGGATAAAATGATCAAAATAAATGATGATATTTTATATACTAAAGATCCAAATGCATACAATTGCTACATTAATGGAAACGCTTGTGATAGCAAAGAAGAAAATATTCTTCCTGCTTTGCCAGTATATATTTTGTATTTCTACATAACAGTTGCTAGAAACCTTGATATAGAAAAAACCTGTATAGTTAAAGGAATTTTCATTTAGTTATTAAATTCTAGAAAAGCCATGAAATGTTTAAGTTTTTGAGAGTTGTAGCCATACTACAAGACAGTTCAGAATTGTTGCATTTTTAAATTATGTTAAAATCATATTTTTTATTATTTATTTTTAATAATTAAAAAATTTTTTTTTTTTTCAAAATTTAAAAAGCTGTTTTTCACAACTTTTTGTACAAATAATTTTGATGGGTCGATAAGAATTTTAAAATAAGAACTTATTGAGTTATTAATTTCAATATTTTTCTTTAGAAAATATATGAATAAAAATAAATATATTGATAGCTATTATATTATTTTTAAATTATATGATATTAATTGATAAAATATTCATACTGAATACTAAATACTTGTATATTTACACCTAGTTTAATGACATGTTAATATTTTTTTGTTATATATTTGAAGAAATTGTACTTTATAAGTATAACTAAATCAATTTTTCTTAATTTTATTATATAGAAAGATTCATTTTTCAAAAATCTTGGCAATGATATCTACAATGGAAACTTTGAATATTCATACCATACTTTGGCAAAAGGAAAACAATCTGAAGTTACTGTTGCTGAAATTTATGACCCAAGTTCATTTTATGTGCATTCAACAAGTTATGCTAAAGATTTATCCTTACTAATGGATGAATTACAGTTAGTGTACTTTCTACATTTTAAGTTTTGAACACTGGTTTTTTAGAGAAAATAATTAGGAAATTTTCTAGGAGTGTTTGCCGACTTATATTTTGGAGTCTGTATTTTTTTTTATAAATTGCCAACTAAAAAAATCATACGACATAAAAAAATTGTTTATAGGTGACCTAATTTTATAATTTCACTTAAATAATATAAAGAAAGCAGTATATATACTAACATGCTACCAAAGTTGCTCAGTATTTTGAATTTGAGGGGTTGACTTACTGCCATATCACCCAGGAGTGTTCCTGCTAGTATCAAAAAATAATAGGGACATTATTAAAATTTTTTTATTAAGGGATATATACATGAAATTTTTTTACTTAGTGTCTTCACCAACTTATTATTTTTTTTTTAGAGAAGAGATCAAGGGGATAATTGATCACTCATAGCAACTACCTAAATTAATTTATTCATTATTTTATTTCATTTCAGTCAGAGTTAAAATTAGGTACAATGACAATGACATTTTTAATGAAAATTATTGTAACTAGGTTTTAAAAAATATTCATTTGCATAAAAAACTCGTACCTTAATTATAAAATAATTTTGGTGTGTATTTTACAATTCTCTGAGGTTTAGTTATCATCATTTGTTTTATTTTAATTGTAATGTAAATTACATAATTATATTGTAATTTATTGATGGTATATTAATTTTTTGTTTCATGATAGAAATTTTTTTTTTAATAATATTTTAATCATGTAAAAAAAAATCTGATTTGCTTTAATTAAGCACTTAAAATTACTGGGATACTTAAAAAATTCTGGTAAGGATCCAAATAAACAAACAATGATATATTATTTGTAATATCATTTCAGGGATGTTATAAATCTGGAAAATATATAAAGTTGGGGAAAATCAGAGAAATTTTTTTTTAGTTTGGGGATCTCTGGAATGTTAAGAAATTTTATTTAAGTACCTGGATTTTTGACAAAATTGTTTTACAGTGTCGAACTAGAAGCTAAAGACTAAGGGGGCGCAATAATTACCATAATTAGCTGGGCCTGTTTAGCTCATCTTGCTTCAAAAAACATTTCTATCATTCCATAAAAAAAAATGATAAGCAAAAAAGTTCAGTAATAAATTTTTCAAATAAGATTATGCTAATCATAGCAGCCCTTACACTCTATAGACTGCTGCCCAGGGGATAATTGTCACTCTCTTGCTCCTATGGTTAGTCCTCCCTTGGTGTAGTGGATTTCTGTCAAATTTTTATTAAACACTGAAGTATTATAATTTAACAAAAAATATAGCTACCCTATATTTAAAATTAATAACATTTTAACAATTTATTAGAAAATTTAAAGGCTTGGTGTGTTCATCTGCATTGTTTGCATTGTTACACCTTGTCCCCATACTAGTTTCTGCAGCCATAATGTGTTTGCATCAAGTCAACAGCTGGTGTACAATTAAGAGGTAGAGCCCAAATAGTTGGGATACAGAATATGATGTTGATGGTTAGGGAATTTAACAATATGCAATAGAAAACAATTTCCACTCTTTCAAATATATCAAATATACTATATATATATATAATTTATTTGGTGATACTTTATATTTATAATATCATCATTAAATAAATTTAATTGTAAAATTTCTAAGCAATGTTATCATTTTATATTTTTACTTATCTATGTTTTTAAAGTTTTACTTACTTATTTTTTAATTAGTTGAAACTACTGCAGATATTATGATTGATAAATTTTATTTTTAATAATTTTGTTGTCAATGCAATACCTGATATCTTTAAAATAGAAATAATAATTATTTTTTTGTTTTAAATGTCTTGGGATATGTGGTATTGCTTTGAAATATTTTGTGATAAAATCTCACTTTTGTTTTATGGAGATTTGGGATACTGAATTAACAATAACAATATAATCATTCTCAATGCAATTCTGCTTCCAGGCAAAAATTTCCATTTTAGAGATATAAAAGTGATGTATATTAATATATATTAATATGGTGTTACATTGATAACGATAATTTGATTTTTAAATTTCATATTAAACTTAAACGGTAATTTTTTTAGATTTTAAAGTTTTTAATACCTGTTTTAATATAAATTTTGTTTACAAAGGAAATTTTATAATGACACTTCCAATGAAGATAAGTGCAAAGTTTTACCAGAATTAGTAACACCGGGTCTACCTTGTATTTCTCGTTTTGAAGATTCAATGCAATGGCATAGAGCTGTAGTTTTAAAACTAATTGATGAGGATAATGTTCAAGTTAGTATTAATTAAATTTTATAATTTTCTTAACTTACACATTTTTTGATTATAATATGTGTATCATAGCTATTATATGTGGATTATGGATCAATAGAAAATGTACCAAAAATTAATGTTAGACTTTTAGAAAAGAAATTCAGCAAAATGCATGCTCAAGCAATTCATTGTAGTTTATTCTATAAATATGAAGGACAAACCTTTTCTAGAGAAACTAAAGAAAACTTTGCAAGATTGGTTGATAGTAAGACTTTATGGGCTCATACTGTGCAGAAAATTAAATCTGAGGTAATTGTACAATTTCAATGATTTTTAATTTAATTTAATTCTATAATTTTATTTCAGTATGGTAATGCACAAAAACTTATTGTTTCACTTTTTCACGAAATAAACAATCAAAGAATTAATATAAAAAAAGAAATGTGAGTGTTAAAGCTTTTAAATTAAAAATAAAATGTAATGAAGGAAAATATAATAATTTTTACTTATAAACAGTTAACTTAATATATTTATACTTTAATATCTAGTATTGAAAAATACTATATGAATATAGTATTTAGTAATATAAACATTCATAACATACCTAATTTTTTTCTAAAAGAATTCTTTTTTTTTTTTTCTTAGCGAAATCTTAAATAAAAGGTGGATAATTTGTTTATATAATTTAATTTTTGTAGAATTAAAGATATAAATGTTACGTCAAATCAAAATCAAGGTTCAATTAGACAACAAATAGCAAGATTGATGATTTAAAAAATCACCATCATTTAATCATAAAACTTATAAATGATATACTTAAAGTAATTTTCATTATTTTTTCTTTTGTTTTTCTTATTATAAAAAAAAAAATTAATTTGATCAAACATTTTTTACATTGATGTATTCTATCTATTTATTAACTTAATTAGTTTTTTACTAATTAAAACTTCAATTGTATAAATAATTATTTTTGTAAAATGAACAAAAGTAATCACAACAATATTAAGATAAGTTTTATGTTGTATTGTGTTTTATAACTTATAAAAAATTCTGTATAAATTTGACAATTTAATATTTTGTATATAATTTTTATATCAACTTTTTATTACTTCATAATTTGTTGTTAAATAAATCAAATTAATTACTAGTTATATTATGTTTTTTTTATTAAATATTGTTGTTTTAATTTAAAAAATATAGGATAAATTGTTTTGTTTTTTAATTTTTAAAATATAATAAATGGTTTTTAGTTTATATTTAATTGAAGAATTGTCACTAATTATTAAAATAATTTTTAATAATTATTTATACATATAAAATCATTTAATATTATATAAAAAAATTATATTGTCGTAATTTACTTGATTAATTAGATCATTTTATTAATTTTATTGATTTTAATAGAGAACCATGTTTTTAGTAAGGGGTTAACTCCCTAATTAGCTAGTGTTTAACAAAAGATTGGCATTAATTAGTTAAAAAATTAATTTTTTTGAACTTTCATCTTAACTTATTATTTTTCTAATTAACATCTTAACTTAACTAGTTTAATTAAGCGTTATTTACCTCCCTGTGGGCAGGTAAAGGGTTAGATTTATAAAACAAATATACCAAATGAAAGGTAAAGACATCATGCATCTATAAAAAAAATTATATTGATTTGTTCATTTTTGAAAAAGTTATGGTAGTTTTAAGTAAAAAAAATTGAAAAAGTTTCGAAAAAAAGTGATTCTTAAATTTGTAATTTTTTTGGAAATGCCCCCATTTACGGTGAACGAGGGAATTTTTTTCAATTTTTGAGCGTATTGTCTTCGACTAGATACACAATTTGTGATCTTTTGTCTTATCGTTGAAAGAAACCTGTTCGGTGAGAGCTGAAAAAAAGAGGTAACAGACACAAAAAAAAAAAACACATTATAGTAAAATTAATACCTTCTCAGCTTCGCATTGAAGCTAATAATAATATCTTTATGAACATCACTAACTGATTTTTGCTTTTAATTTTTATAAAAATTTTAAAAATAAAACAGTGCAACCAACACCAAAATGTACAATACCATGTTAGGCTATAAAAAAATAAAAAATATTTTTGTTAGCACAATATTATTTGACTTCCTATTCCGTTAAAAAGTTTAAAATCGATTCTCAACCTTTTCCAGCATTACCGAACAATAAAAAGTTTTTGTCCAAAAATAAAAATCTAGGACTAAAATGATTAATCCTTTTTTTTAAATCGAGTTAAGTTTAAAAAAATGTTCAACTTTTATTTTAACAATTTATTTTGTTAAATTTATAATTAGTTAACTTTTAACTGTTAAAGTAATGATATTGTTCCTACTTAACTTAACTTGAGTTGTTTATTTACATTAACTTGTTCATCTTTGTACTTGACATATTTAATATATGTGTATAGCTTAATCAATTTTTATAAGTAATTGGAAATTTTTATTTAAAAAATTATTGACAATCTATATCAATTGTATATTTAATTTATTAAAACGTATTGATTGATTTTCTTGTAACTACCATTGATAATCATTTATGTTCGAATTCGTTTGGCAGATAATTGTTGAGACGTTGAAAAAACACAATCAACTCTTTCGTGCATGGTGGCAGATATTTCAGCATCTATATTGTCAAAATCTCTATATTTAATCAGTTGTGGACAACAAATGCCTAAAGGTTGTTTTATCGAAGTATTTTTAACCTTCATAAATTCCATTTCATTATTACGCAATAACGTGTAATCGTCGTCATCCATAAAACGATTTTCCATACAACTAATGATAAAATATTAATTTAATATTTTAAGTATGAATTTGAAAAATGATTACTTGATAATTACTATTATAATATAATATAAATTATTTAGCTTTCTTTTTAATACTATATAAGCTTGATACAAGATCTTGTTTAGGCGTGGTTAGGAATCAAAACTCCCATGAAAAAAATGTTGAGATCATTAAAAAATGTATAGTCTATTGATTATACAGTTTAAACCAAATCTAACTGACTATTTTTATAAAACTTTTAATCCAATGATCATCTTGCTATAATTTAAATTTTTTTAAACCATTTTCGTATAATTAAACTACATTAATAGCATATTTTTATCATTTTTCTCTAGTAAGAAAAAAATAAAAATGAATCTTTTTTTTTAATTTTAAAATAGTGTCTTTTTTTAGTATTTTTCTTACAAACAATTTTGGTAGGTAGATAACAATTTTAGGATATATATATTATAATACATAAAGTAGGTATGTAGGAGCATGTATTATGCATAAACACCTGTATGACCTGTATTTACTATCAATATATGTCCTAAAATTTTAATCAAACCATCAAACTTGTAAAAATAAAATCTATTAAAATCAAAAAAATTGTTCTATTTTATTATATTATTAAAAAAAAATATACTTTTAATGCAGATTAAGAATGCAAAAATTGTTTAGAAATATCAAATAGATTTTATAACTTTCAGTTTCAACCTCATATATTAACTTATTACAATTAAGCAAAACGTATTAAGTTTTGCTTGATAGTAATAAAAAAAAACCCAGCACAGTGGGGTGGCGGCACAGTGGTGACGTGGCATAGTTGGATCAAGTATAATGATATCTGACAGTGATTAAAATCACTATCAAAAAAGAACGCTTCGATGCAAATCTTTAGATAGTGTTTAATTTTAAAAAATTGGTGGATTATTCCAAAAGGTTCATAAACTGCTAGTTCCTTATTAATATCCTGATTAAAATAAAGTATGTCGAATGAAAAAGGGATTATTAAAAAATAGTATTTCACATAAAAAAATTATATTGATCAATACACTTTTCAATAAGTTATAGCATTATAAAGTTAAAAATGTAAAAAATAAAATTGAGAATTTTCACACAATAATAGCATTTGGTAGCCATTTTCACCTTGAAGATAAAATAAAGTCCGAAATTTTTTTTTTCCATGATAAAGTATATTACATTAGCTTTAATTTAAGATATATATAAAAGTGTCAGACTTTCCGGAACACTTTCAAAATTTAAGTTGAAAAAGTCAATTTTTTGTGAAAAAGTTGTCATTTTGAATCCCCCCCTGTAGGCAGGTAAAAAGTCAGATTTATAAAAAAAATATACCAAATGATAGGTAAAGACATCATGCATCTACAAAAAAAAGAATTATATTGATCCATACATCTTTCGAGAAGTTATAGCATTATAAAGTTAAAAATATAAAAAAGAATTTTTTTACAAAAATCGTATTTTTTTTATTAAGTTTAATGTCTGTTTTCACCATGAAGATAAAATAAAGTCCGAAATTTTTTTTTACCATTATAAAGTATATTACATTAGCTTTAATTTAAGATATATATAAAAGTGTCAGACCTTCCGGAACACTTTCAAAAGTTACGTTGAAAAAGTTCTACTTTCTATATGCATTTTTATGTTTTGAATCCCCCCTGTATTTAGGGAAATGGTCCGATTTAAAAAAACAGTATGTCGAATGAAAGATCTATATAAATACTACTTCTCATAAAAAAATTGTAATGATTCATACATTTTTCAAAAAGTTATAGCATAATAAAGTTAAAAATGGAAAATACAAAATCGAAAATTTTCACACAAAAATAGCATTCGGTAGCCATTTTCACCATGAAGATAAGATAAAGTCCGAAATTTTTTTTTTTCATAATAAAGTATATTACATTAGCTTTAATTTAAGATATATATAAAAGTGTCAGACCTTCCGGAACATTTCTAAAAGTTAAGTTGAAAAAGTTAATTTTTTTTGAAAAAGTTGTCATTTTAAATCCCCCCTTGTGGGCAGGTTAAGGGTTAAATTTATGAAAAAAATATACCAAACGAAAGGTAATGATATTACACATCTATATAAAAAAGAATTATATTGATATGTTCATTTTAGAAAAAGTTATGGCACTTTTTAGTAAAAAAAATTGAAAAAATTTCGAAAATAAGCGATTTTTAAATTCGTAATTTTTTTAGAGGTTTCCCCCATTTACGGGGAACGAGGGAATTTTTTTCAATTTTTAAGGGTAATGTCTTCGACTAGATACGATTTGTGATCTTTTGACGTATCATTGAAAGAAATCGGTTCGGTGAGAGCTGAGAAAAAGTGGTAACAGACACAAAAAAAAAAAACACATCTTAGTAAAACCAATACCTTCTCAGCTTCGCATCGAAGCTAAAATATTGCTAAAATGATGTAAATATAGTTACATTGGGCAAGGTGTCGGTATGTAACCAGGATTTAAGCATTTGTCTCGTAATGGTACTGAGCTTGGATCTTCCATAACAATTGTTCGTCCCTTTTTAATTTCGACTCCATCTTGGTCTTTGGAAATGAGACCATATATTGAATCATCATCGGATGACAGTGATTCTTCATACTTTTCTGATACGCAATTAGTTTCTGCACAGTTAACTATGTAAAGCACTTGATTACAAGCTTTTTCCATTTCCTCAAAGAATACCGATATATTAGCCTCGCATACCCGGTCGTTGGGCCCTAAAAGATGATCCAAACGCGTTCTATTTATATTGAGCGTTTTACACATTTGATCGATTCTACTGCAAACGTAACGATATGAGTTCGCCCATTTTCTTACAGATTCTTCAATAGTCTCTAATCGTCTCCCATTACATCGTACAGTTTTTATCCATTCTTCCAACTGCTTATCGTTTTTTTTCTCTAATTCTTCAGTTTCATGTTTGCTTTCCTTCGCCAAATGTCGACGCCTATTTATCTTATTTTCCAAATATGCAATCTAATGTAATAAACAAAAGTTAATTAAATATAATTTCTTCGGTATTTTCAATATTTATAATGAGTTATTTGAATAATGTGCTAACTTCCTAAAACTAGATTTAATAAAACAATATATTCAGTGAAGTTAAAAACAAATATTATCATAATTTGTTGAGTAAGTATGTACTTGAAAAGAGTTAATCATATTTTCATAACAAGGATTTGTTTGATTAATTAAATATTATACATAAAATCGAATTCTTATTAATTTTCCTTAAATTATTTAATCATTATTAACGTAAGATATATGGGTAAATTTAGACTGTACAATTGGTGAGCACTGATTATAACTTTTGATTTTTGCGAGGTGCGATAGAAAACTTTTTCAGAATTCTTTTATTTAAAAAAAAAAATATATTTTTTATTTTTGCTTTTATCTACATTTGTAAAAAACTATTGTTTGAATTGTCCCGTTGTCCGACCCTGTCTTTAACTTCCTCGTTTTTGTGAAATGTCATTTCATTAATTAATTGAAGAGACAACTTGCATTAAGAGAAAGCTAAAATTCCTCCTAAAGTCTATCTATGTTAATGCGATAATAATTCCATTAAATTAGAGCAATGTCTTTTATAAAATTGTCTGTTATTTGTATACTAGTATAGTATATATGCTATACCTACTTGAGTGACGAAAAAGACCGTTATTTGAAACAAACTGTCTTTGTTCATTGTCATCTTTTTTATTTGTTCTGTTACATTCTTAAGATCTTTATCGCCACCGAGGTTAGACAAGTATTCGAGACACATTGAATTACTATCATTGATTTTTCTAGTTTTCTCATCAATTTCGCCATGGTTAGCTTCTAACTGACAATCCACTGATTTAATATGTTTTGCTAAAATGATAAAATTAGGAATTAAATTTGTTATTATTATAATGTTACAAGAGAGTTAAGCGTATTTTTTATTATAAAATTCATTTTATGTGTTATTTTAGCCATAAAATGGATAATGGGCAACAGACATCTCACCACATATTATGAATGATTCATATAAAACATTATTTGTTCCAATGTATACAATTACATTTTTGAAGTATAAAACTAGTTAACTGAATTTCATTTTGAAAATGATTTTTTGCTAGTAAGATTTTTTCTTCACGTTTTGCTTCTTGCTTCGCTGTAGTGTCCTGATACTTTTGTAATCGATCAGCTGCGTTTTGTCTAGAACAATTGCAAACAAATAGTTTTTGATAAATAAAATTTAATTATGAAATTAATAAAAAAAATCTAGGGAGATGTCTTATTCGTATTCAACAAAGTTGACCAAAAAAGCGCCAATGGTCGGCACCAATTCTCTTTGTAATAGTATATTTACCTGTCTTTAAAAGCTCTTAAAGCGTGATCGCCAACGTCTCTGAAAACTTGTTTTTCTTTACATATTCGACGCATTAGTTTATTATACACTTGTTTTTTTTGCGAAATAGTTTTCATTAACGATTCGAATTCTTCTCTGAAAGCTTCTTGTTTTTTTAAACCAGTATTGTATCTTCTAACTTTCTGAATATAGTGATTTTTTAATTAATTTTAATCAATACAGTAGATTATTTTTATTCTTGTGCAAAATATAAATTTTATTAAAAATGTATAGTTATAACTATCACCACTACTGTGATTTTCAAACATTTTTAAATAATAAACGTTACTCAAAAATTAATTTTACGATACTTTTCGTTTAACAAGTGCGGTAGACTGGGACACATTTGAAGGTGGGGTAGATTTGAATTGATTAAATAAAACTAACTAGTTATAAGTTATCTTCACATAAAATAAACATAGTAAATTTTGGGTACAGCATGACCAATTTTTTGTTTTTTATGTAAACTTAATTGATTGTTACAACTTTCTTATGAATTATTTACTGATGAAATTGAAATATTAATAATCAAAATCTATAAAAACAATGTGTTTATTATGTGTGTAACTTTAATCATTTAGATGTCGCGTGGACAAATTATGAACATAGACATATATATTCCACTTCTAATGTCAGCCAAGTCACTGCGTTCCTAAGTGCTTTGCTTTTCTTAATTTCTTTCAGCTTGTGCTGATCCATAATAATTCCATTATGGACTTAGTTATCCAATATAACTTGTGATAATAGTTCCATCCCTGCTAGTAAGCTTTACTTTAATCTTCCTTCTATAGTCCATTCAAAGAGGTTGAACTGACAAGGGGAGGTCACGGTGATCGGATCACCAATTTTTAAAAACGTTATATGAATCTAATTTACTCTAATATATAGTTGTATATACAGTGACGAGCAAAAGTGAACACAACTACCAAAATTTTTGGAAAATTAGCATTTTCAAAACTAAATATTAATTTAATTTAATACATTTTTGAATCCATATTCCAGTGGTTAAAACAAAAGTTTATGCACAAAACATAGTCACGAAAAAGATAAAAGGCCTGAGAGTTTGTTCATTTAAAAATACTCACTTTTGCACCTGTTATTAATACAACGTAAATCGTAGTGCGTGTCTTTGACTTGCTATTTTTAGGACGTCTGGAGAAAAAAGTTTTTTCACTCTTGATTTGTTTACATTTCTTTCTATTACAAAAAGAATACTCTATTTCTATTTTAATCAGTCTTTCGTAGTGAAAGGAACCAACATGAAAATTACTCCTCAAAGAACGGCACAAATGGTTTCAATACTAAAATCGGGTCAATCAACCAGAGAAGTGGCTCGACAGTGTGGCGTCAGCCAAACGACAGTGCAATAAATAAAAAATAAAGGTTGTCCTAACGCTTTACCTCGACTAAAAGGAAGACCTAAGTGTACTACCTCACAAGATAGATGAAGACTTGCTCACTTTTTACAAACGGGAGAAGCATCTTCATCTTCAATGGCGGCCAATCTATTACAACAATACACGGGGAAAAAAGTAAGCAGGTGGACAGCTTTGAGAATTCTCAAGGAACAAAATTTTGTGTGTGCCAAAAAAAAGAGAAAACCCGCAATTTCCAAAAAAAATATGAAGGCTAGGTTAAAGTTTGCTAAAGATCATAAACACTGAACAGAAAAAGACTGGAGGAGAGTGATATGGTCGGATGAAACCAAAATTAATAAATACTGCTCTGACGGAATGTCCTGGTTCTGGAAAAGAACTGGCGAGAGCCTTAAACCATCCCATATCAAGCAGACGGTCAAGCATGGTGGAGGATCTGTCATGCTATGGGGCTGTTTTACTGCACATAGACCCGGACCCATTCAATAAATTGTTTGTACTATGGATCAATATATGTATAAAAACATTCTATCAAGAAATTTGCAAGGTGTGGTCGCAAAAATGCCAATACCAAACAATGAAGTCATTTTCCAACAGGATAATGACCCCAAGCATACAGCGAAATCCCTTAAACAATGGCTTGCCAATCAAAAATTTAAAACTATGGACTGGCCAGCTCAAAGTCTCGACCTGAACCCAATAGAAAATTTTTGGGCATATTTAAAAAAAAAATTATACAGTGAGTACCACGGTCTTCACTCGACAATTTGTGGGAAAGAATTAGAGAAGAATGGACAAAAATTGATGTGGACTACTGCAAGTCATTGGTCAACAGCATGCCACGAAGGATGGAAGCAGTGATAAAAGCTAAAGGCTTGTGGACAAAATATTAACGCTAGAATATATTTATAATATTTACTGGTGCAAAAGTGAGTACTTTTAAAAATTCATTTTCTAGAAACTCGCTACTTATTGTTTGTATTTTTTCAGCTAATAAACTTTCATTTTGTTATTCAAATACATTTATTTCTTTGATTAATATAATTATACATGTGTTGTTTTTTTATAACCTTATTTCTCAAAATTTTCTTATTAGTGTTCACTTTTGCTCGTCACTGTAGTATATAATATAGTTGTACTTATTTTGAATTTTTTGCTAATGCCCTCTATAAACGGGAAAAATGAATTTAAAAATTTGAATTACGTTAAATGGTCCTTTTTATCGTCTGGTAATCGCAGCAACCTAATAGTTAGTTTATAACGCGTCAGCAAAAAAATATATAAGCAGAGTTGTAATCATTGAGAATTATTTTTTTAGAGCGTGAATTTCGAATTTTAATAGAGAAAATCATTGATATTGTAAAATACTTTTAAAAAAGTGCACAAAATTAACCCACCCCGGTCGAATTTAACCTCGTGCATTTAGTGAACGAGGCACACGCATTACCAACTGACCAATAGGTTGTAGCGATTGCAGAACCATAAAAAGGGTCATTTAAGGTAGATAAATTTTCAAAGTTATTTCTCCCCGATTAGGGGGGCATTATCAAAAAATTAAAAGTAAGTGAAATTATATATTCAATGTAGATTAAATTCATAAAAATTTTTGAAAATCGGTGATAACATTATCATGACCTCCCCCCTGTGAGTTTAGTTAGACTAGCCTACGTTAAAGCAATTGGTTCTCGTAGTCTCTCTGAATACTTTCTATATAAGATAAGGTGCGTTTCATGTTACCCCTTTGGCTGGTTTATGTAAATCTGTGATTGATGGAGTTTTTTCTAATGTTTGGAAAGTTGTTCGATAACTCCTAAATTTAATTCTGGTGACTTGGCTGATGTTACAAACTATAGGCCAATCTCAACTATATGTCACAGGGCCAAAATTTTTGAGTCATTAGAGTATAACTCTATTGAGAGACCTGTAAATAGCATTTTAATATTTGAGCAGCATGGGTTTCATCTTGGTTGATAACGATTATGTGCAATTTTATTTTCTATATAGAGTGGGTCAGTGGGAAACAGGTAAATTGTTATATACAATGAAAACAATATAAACTTGTTTCTTTACTTAACTGAACACAATATAAAATTTTAATACTAACTCTAGCAAACTGTTCCATTATATCTCCATAAATATGCCTTTGTTTTGTTGATTTATCAGCATTTTTTCTTGCTTTAAATTCGTTCTTTAACCAGTCATCAAATTCCCTTTTTTGAACTCTTTGAATTTCATCAGTTAATTCAATGTTCTCTTTTCTAAGATTTTTAAGTCGGTCCATTTCTTGAATCAAACTATTTTGTAAATTTGTTATCGTTTTTCGGTGCTTCTTATCTTGTTTGAGTTTTGATTTTTGTAAAGCTACATTTAGGTCTATCACTAAGTTGGCTTTTTCTATTTCTAAGTATTTAATAGCAGTTCTATATGAAAATTAATTCAACTAAAATATTAAATTGAAAAATTGATACTAAATACAGAAGAATTTAACTTCTCTTAAAATTTGAACGCCAATTTAGAACAATCAAGAAAACACACGTTTTGAAAAATGAAACTTAAATTCGCGAGGGTAAGTAAAGTGCATTTGTTCCATATTTCATTCTAAAGAACTTGATGGTTCTCAATTGGCGTTTAAAGTTTAAGAAATATTATATTCTTTATGTTATTTTGTAAATATTATTATATTGAGTGTTCAGAAAATAAAGAATCAGGTTTTTATTATCGTCATTATTTGTAACAATTGACCTGTTTCCTTACTTACTGAACACTTGTTGTAGTTTAGTATACTCTTCTACACTAATTGTAATCTTACTGTTTATTGTTTTTATATGTTGACGGTACGACATTTTTTCGAAGTTCATGCCTTTTATATTCGAATGAACTTTTCAATAGTTCGGAACGAAGAATTTCACTAGTATTGTCCTCTTTTGGAATGAGATCTTTCCCCATAATACAAATTTTGCGTAATTAGAGTTAAAATATTTAAATAACACAATTTTTTGCCGTTAAAATTAAATTTTTATACTTAAGTTTTCTTATCATTAAGTAAATTTGAACATGCAATAAATGCTGATTTAATCATTTAAAATATTTGTAGCATAATTACAAGAAACAAACTCCTAGCGACAGATAAAAAAAAAAAACAAAATTTACACCATACAGTTTTATTTCTACTGATTATTTTATAAATATTTTACTAAAATGTACAATAATAGTTGTTATTATTAGCTTTGTTCTATTATACATATAATATATCTCAAAAGCTTATTTATTAACTTAAAAATTATTTTAACCACAAAAACTGTAGTAAATTAAATGTTTCAAGGCATATTTAGTTCATAATGGGGAGGAGGCATAAATAACATTTTTCAATTGACAAGATACCATGAACATATTTTTATTCATTTTGAGCTAATTATGAGCAAAAAATAAAAAGTCAACAAACATTTTTATATCAGTATAGAAAAGTATATGGAAGGGAGCACGTACCTATTTCTCTCCTATAAATACGCCACTGTTATAATTATAATAACACTATATTATGTTAGTATCTCTAAAATAAGTTTTAGAATACTAGTTCCATTTTTTACTGAGTATAGAAATTATAATAAAAAGATAAAATTACATTCTTATTATTGAATTGCTACAGAACGTATTTTCAAAATAATTATTCTAAAATTACATGTACTTTTTAGCTCTATTTATTAATATTATTAATTAAAATATTAGTCAAAAAAAGAAAAATTAAAAGTAATTTTACATTCATATCTTTACAATTTGACGACTTATATGTCTTACAGAGTAAACAGAATTTTTAATATTAATTTTACTGAACTTTGCCAAATAACTAAATAAAATTTGTTTTTAAATAACATACTGAATAAACTCACTGTGTGTCAGAATCTATTTTAACTTTATTTAATGATGAGGATCATTTTTACGTGTATAATTAGATGTTATACAAGTTATATTTGCTATATGTTAATTCAAATCAATAATAAAATCAAGTAAGAAAAGTTTATTGGGTTTTAAATATAGCACCATCTCATATGTTTTTTAACCATTTAAAATAATAAAAAAAGTTGCTTTACTTGAACTTTATTATCCAATCTATGTTACAATTTTAAAATCTATAAGTAGAATGGAATAAGATAGTAATTAATTAAAAAAAAACATTTCGTAAATTATTTCACTTACTAATTTTCCCGATCTTTAAGAATATTTTCGTGTTGAAAATGGTACTGAGTGGTAATAATCAATTAGGTCATTTGGAGGCATACAGATACCCGACCAACTGTTCTTAATTTTTTAGTAATTTACAAAATTAAATTTTACTTAAAAATACTTAGGTAATATCTAACTTTACAAGAATTGTTTTTAAAATTTAAATATCATTGTCATACATGCTTTAATACGTCATATGTACGTCAAATTATTAATAATTTTTAAAACACGTGCATAAGTATATACAGAGTGTCCAGTAAGTAAGGAAACAGGTCAATTGTTACAAACAATGAGTACAATAGAAACCCGTTTCCTTACTTACTGAACGCTCTATATATACATTGTAATTTATAAAGTATACTACGTCCTATTTTTCGTTAAATAATAATTTTTTTCATAAAAATTTATAGATTAAAACTTAAGTTCTTTTTAAAAACCATTATAAATATAAAGTTTATTGTAAAATAAAATTATTTCTAGATTTTAGGGGTAAATTTCGAAATGTTAAATGAGAACTTGGTATTATTTTTTACTATTATATGAAGAATTGTCTAAATAAAATATTGGTAATTCGATAATTAATATTGTACTATTATTTTATAATTTTTAGTTATAAGCGAACGGGACGCGCAACATAAAAAAATTCTTATCTGTGTGTTATGTAAAAGTAGAGAATCGCTGTACACTATCTTACATTTTTTTAATTTTCAAATGTCAGTATCTTGAAAAGTAAAAACATAAAAATAGTTATCAACTAGTCAACATTTTATTCAGACTATTGTCCATTTAATATTGAAAATAATTATAAGTTCTCATTTAAATTTCAAAAGTTACCCCTATAATCTTCTCCTCATAAAAATAATTTTTTCCCGCAATAAACATGATATTTACAATAGATTTTAAAAATAAATTTATTTTTTATAAATTAATGTTTATGAAAATATCATTGTATAAATAAAATATGACTTATGACGTACAAAATGTATTTCTTTACCCATTTTTAAAATCAAGTAACTAATTGAAACCAATTTTTTTAATTTAGTGCAATGCAAAAGTTAAACATGAATTTACATATTAGATAGCTAAAAAATGAGTAAATACAGCAACTTTATTAATAATTAATTATAAAATATTATTTTAAATTCCATTTCAAAATGAGTGATAAATTTCTTTGATAAATTATTGAAAAAATGTATAAACTCAACTATTTAAATTATTGAAAATATTTTCTAATAAATAATTATAGACAAATTTTATTGGAAATTTGTACCTTTTAATTAAAAATCTTAAAAAATGATATAAATTTCCACTAAAAACTACATGAAATATAAAATATTTTAGTTTTTGTTTTGTTGAGTATTTTGATATGTATTTTGTTAATTTTAATCACTCTTAAGGGTTTCTGTTTATGTGGGTAGAATAGTTTGAAACAGATGATCATCCAAAATAATATAAGTGAAAAGCGCAAAATTATTTTTGGAAAATATATTCTTGTAATACCTTATTAATTTTTAATAAACAACGCAGTTCAAAGAGTACATACACTATTATTAATTTTCATCTGTAATTGCCATTGGGTTGGTACTATTATAATTTAAAAATTCAAACGAAGCTAAAAAAATTTTTTAATATAAACAGAGTGATCGAAATCTGGTAAGACACTTATTTTCTCAGAAACTATTAAGAATTTTAAATTTTTGTAAAAAGAAAAATTATTAAGTTTATAAAACTCTACAATAATATGAAGTTAAATAAATTTTTTTTTTATCCCTTCAGGAATAAAAATGTTTATTTATAATTTTTTTAAATGGGAACCACTATTTTTGATTTAATAATATGATAGAAAAAAAAAATTACAAACAATTTTGTTCTTATAATTTTTTTTATCCGAACAACCGTATACATTTTATAATTGTTTAAAAATTTTGACTACCAGAAAAAATTTTGTCATTTATTACGTTTCATAATATCGGTGGCTGTGCAACCGGTATTTTTTTAGATCCTTTAGTCTTACAAAACCATAGACTTAGCTATTAATAATACACCGAAAACCCGGTTTGAATCTATTATTGTTATCACTCATTTAGTGAGTAGTAAATTTTTATTACTAATTTACCTGTCATAATTTGATCAATAAAATTTGGTTTATGCAACTGCAAATAAAAATAATGACTTCTGTATTTAATACAGCAAAATGACAATAGAAATTTGGCCTAAAATCACTTAACTTTAACAAGCTGTAACGGACGAACGGTTAATCGGATAAAAAAAATTATAAGAACAAAATTGTCTGTAATTTTTTTTTCTATCATATTATAAAGTTAAAAATAAGGGTTCCCATTTAAGAAAATTATAAATAAGGGATTTTATCCTTGAAGGGACGTAAAAATAATGATTTGACTACATATTATTGTAGAGTTTTTTGAACTTGATATTTTTTCTCTATAATAAAATTTAAAATCTCAATATTTTCTGAGAAAATGAGTGTCTTACCAGATTTCGATCACTCTGTATATTATACGTTTTATTATTGGTTTTTTGGATGCTATTAAGTTTATTTCAACTTAATGTTGTATATAATTAAAAAATTACACCTTAAAATTACACCTTAAGTGTTTGTATCTTCCTTCCCCTATTTTGAAAATATTTTACTTGCAATCTAATTATGTTTAGGAAGTTTTAAATACATGAATNATTTTGGTTGAAAAATAGACAAATAATGATTATTTTATTAACTCTATCATAATATAGTTCAGATGCTTAGGTAAAAGATAGGTCTAAAGTGTTTGTATCTTCCTTCCCCTATTTTGAAAATATTTTACTTGCAATCTAATTATGTTTAGGAAGTTTTAAATACATGAATCTGGTTCATGGATTCCAAACTTATGAATACTTTGTAACCCCAATGTTATTTTTAAGTACGGAGCGAAAATTTTTTTATAAAAATCGAGCGAATACAATCCAATAAGTCATATTAAGTACAGCAAACAATAAAGGAAAGAAAATTCTTGAAAATCGATCGATTTTTAATGCTCTTGTGCGGTTCCTTTGAGCAATTGCCGTTGAAGCGGCTGCAGCAGCGGCTGTGGCCTGTGGTGGAGGACGAGGCGGTGGTGGAATCGAATGACCGTCGATGGGTTTTATGCTACTCTAAAAATAAATATTCATTATTAGATTACCAAATAATAAGTGCTTCACATATTTTATGTAATGTAATGTGTCGGGTTTTTGCAAAAACAAAAAATATAAATATCTCATAACATATATTAATGATAAGTTTTTATTGATAAACATTACTCTACTTAAATCTATTAAGCAATAACTTGAAACAAATTTTCAATTTTTAGGCTAAGATTTGAATCGATACACGCTTTATAAATATTAAGATTCCATTTCCAGTATAAATTTAAATTATTTTAAAAATACCAATTCAAATAAAAATTCCTTAGGCTCTACTTTAGTTTCTAGCGTAATTACATAATTTTAAAAATGGCGATAAGATACATACTCTGAAGCTGAAATCAAAGGTTTTTTTCGAAAACGTTGGTGCAATATCAGCATCGCCAAGCACGATATTTACAAGGCAATATTCCATAAGTGCCATGAACACAAATCTGTAGTTACAACAAAAATACTTGTCATTGTAGTTTTATAGGATTATAAAAAAAGTTTAATAATTATTTTATTAAGACTATTAACGGCTTTTAATTTCTTCTTACACTGTACATGCTGACATAAACGTGTCAACGGCTTTTAAATAAGAAACTGGAGGTAGAGAAGCTTGAGATTTAGCATGTTGGGTAGATAGAGTCAATAGTGACGTAACGCCCAATGTAACTCTAGCCGGAGCTGCCTCTGGTTTAATCCAAAATGAAACCCACTGAAAAAGGTCAATAAAATTAAATGTTCAAAAGTTTGTAACTATAAATAATCTATATTCCATATTATTGACATATGATAGCACACCTACCGACATAATTACGATTAAACATGTAGGTATATATGTGTGAAATAAGTAATATCCCAATCTTCTTTTTAATACAAAAACCACCTCCAGACACGTAAAATTACCTTAAAGTAATACATATTCTTTTAATAATATATTTAATCCAAACTATAAAACCAATACAATTTATTCTGTTATAGAAATGAGTAGGGCTAGAAATTATATGCATTTATAAATTTTGTTTGAGCCACTTTGAAAAGTTTTAAGTTTGTGCAACTTTGTTATAGGATTATATAGAAGCATACAAATATTTTTCGTTTTAGGGGATAAAACCATCCTAACCGCTCTCCCATAAATTATAACTTCAGTAACTACACATAACTAAGTTTTCACGTCAATTAATAAAAATTTGTACTGACGATGATGTGTTCAGAATAACTTAATAAATTTATAAATGCATATAATTCCTTGTCCTATAAATAAGTATTTAAGTATTTTAACTAACTCGTCGATATTTTTATACAAAAAACAAGGACTTGTATATTTAGCAATAATTTATTTTTAATTATATTTTATTGGATAAATTAAGCTGACCTGTAGAGTAGACTTGAGTACAATCTGCTGTTTGATTTTTAACTAATTGCAACTGAGGAAGTTCAATATTTTCAGCTACGACCAAAGGTATTTGTGGGTCCCACTGAAATATCATGTCGTCTGTAGTATGAGATACTAAAGAAAGAAGGGAGTTATTTCAATTTGATTATTATACTAATTAATTTAAACTGTTTTAATTTATTAAATCTTACAGCTTTCCATTTGCAATTTACATTCTTGAGTGTCGTGAGGATAGATCATGAAATTCATAGCGCATGATAACGTTAAAGTTAATCTACAAAAAAATTTATGAAGAGTAAGTGAAACTTATTAAGTTAGCTAATAATTTTTACTAATCAACCTACTTGACCATATAAAGTATGGTTTTGTCTTTGTAGAGCCACATATAGTGATTAGGTATAGTCATAGTTTGGAAAGTCACGGCTTTTGCATTTTTGAAAAAAGAATCAGGTCTCCAAATATTTTTTAACCAATCAACTTCTAGTAGTCTTTAATTAAAATAAAAATACACTTTTCTTTTAGTTTTCTTATCAAACTATACTTCGTAACTTTAAATTTAGTAATTATAAATATTAAAAATTAATGATGGACATTTTCGAATATTTTAAACTCGAATAGTATTAGAATTTTTTTTTGATACAACCGATTAGTTAATTTTTAGCATAAACCATCAAATATTTAAAAAACTATTAAATAGCTTGAATAATAATAGTTCGATAGTTACTATTCGATATTTCCCATTACTAGTAAAAATAGAAATTATTTACCTATATTCAGAAGTCATATTTTCTGGAAGTCGAAGTCTGTGATCTTTCCATGTTTGAGCAAAAAATATATCAGCGGCATAGGTCTTTTAAGAAATTTAAAAATATTATTAACCGAAACATATAAATTGTTTAGAATACATGATTATCTAATAAATTAAATTTTATACCATAGCATTTTCATCAATGGAGTCCAAACCCATCACCGTAACATGAAAATGAACTTTAGTTGCCATTCCATCTTTTTTTGGTGGTCTCATCTTGTCGTACAGTCTAACATCTTCAGGTAAAATGTCTCTAAATTCTAAACAACTTGTTTTGCCAAGTTTAGAGCTGAAATTTTAATAATAATCACAAAAAACTATTTATAAACAAATATTGAAACAAGGAGCTCAGTTTCAAATTTCGCTAAATTTATTCTCAACAAATTTTTAATTTTTTAAATTTTTTATAGTAATAATAATAATTGATTTATATATTTTTTTTGATATCAGTTATAACATAATTATCAAGTTTATATCAAAATTTTCACTTATAGTAAAATAGAAGATGAATAAATTATCTGAAAGTTTAATTTGAATTTTATTTATTTGACTTACTTGAGAAAATTTAGAAAAAATATTAAACGTATAATAGATATGCATAGGTATACTTCTTTACCATTCATCTTATCAACTACTTCTCATATCTAGAAAAAAAATATATATTGTTAAAAAGTACGCAAAATTTCATCTTATATAAATTGAAAATTAAAGTATAGTTAGTACATTTTATTTATCTATCTAATTATATTATGTAAAATATTGAGTTAGGCAAATATATATTTCTTTAACATTGAAGTAGTAAATTTGCCTATCAAAATTGCCGTTTATAAATCATATCTCTATACAAATTTTATTTAGGTTATTTTAATTATCGCACCTTCCTTGTTTTATCTTATTTTATTATAATTTTAAAATATTTTCCTATTAAAACTTCGTTTATTTTTAAAACTGTAATATCGTTATCATTTTTGTGTAAAACTTAAATGAATCTAATCACATAAAAAGCTAAATTTTCTCAATACTAGAATGTAATTATTTTGTATTCTTTTTTAGAATATCAGACTGCAATTACAATTATTTCTGAAAAAAGGAATACGTTCAAGATAAACTTAGCTGTTCTTTGGGGAACAAATATATATATATATATATATATTATAATATTGCATTAATATACAAAGTTCACCAATCTTGTACGTTATTCACATCAGAGATTGGCAACTCGACTGTTTGAGAAGTACCTAGAATGTTTCAAGAGTGCTTATGAACAAGAAAAAAGTTGTCACCGTAGCGAAAATCTCTCTTCAGTTCTTATTCAGACAACTTTTCATTCACGCCTAAAGATTCTTTTGTGCATCATTATCTATACTTCTACATTATATATATATATATATATATATTGTAATTATGTCTCATAGTATTAAAATGATGACATAAAAGGGTTTTATAAATATCTGCGTGTACTAAAAAGATTAAACTTGAACTTGTCCGCATGGCTAATACTTGAAATTCAAAATCTATTGTGTGATGTTGTTCTCTAGTATTATCAGTGGTTCAAATCCATACGGTGAACATTATTATGTATATGATATAATAAGCCTACTGAAAGAATAACAGTACATAATAATGACAAATTTATAGTTTAATGAAAAAAGAGCGTTTGTTGTTATAACAATAGGTAGATGATGATATTTACTAATGTACTTATAAAAACACATAGTATATTATAATATTATGAGTAATCCTTAGAATAAGAAAAACAAAGGCTATTGTAATTAGGTCAACGATATTTTCACAGCATTTTTGATGATTAATACTTAGGTTTAAGTGACATAAAACTAAAATATAATTTAACGAAATTATATCGTTAACAAAAATAATTGCCTTATTAAAAAATATTGATTTAAAATATATGTGTGAAATTATTCAAACGATAATGAAAAGTCATCTTATAAGAGGAACTTATGCATATTTTTAAAACTTTTTAGGAGATACGAAAACTATAATTTTTCAACTAATATAAAATTCAAGATTAATAATTTTTCGGTTTTTCCAAAAGTTGACATATCATTTTTTTAAATTCTTTAGAAGAGAAAAAATAAATTTAAGATTTTAATGGTGTTATATGTATGTTCACATATTTAAAAAAAAAAAAAATCCTTTCTGTTAAAATTGACTTGTTATTTTAAACTAGGTATACAATACAAGACATCCTTTTTTTTACATATAATAAAAAAAAATTGTAGCTGTTAAGCTTTTCATTACTATGCTATATTTTAAAATAAACAGTAATATTTCAAAGTAAAAAAGGAAAATAACTAAAAAACGTAGATTGACCAAAAATATGTCAATTTAATAATTCACTATTCAATTATTATAGTAGTGGTTCAATTATTTAAGTAAGACGAAAAACATAATATTTAAATAAAGAAATTTCACAGTTAAAATAAAATCCAATTTAAAACTGGAAATTATTTAATGAAAATTAAAATGTATAAAATGTTTAAAAAAAGTTCATAGATAATAATGGTCTGTTTAAATAACCCATTATTTGTTACTTAATATTTTATTACATTACAAAATGTTATGTATTAAATCGTGTTTTATTTGACGAATAGACACTTGATGAAGTCTTTGAAAATTTCAAGAGCTAAAGGATTTCAATGAGTGCGTCGACTATTAAAATTTACTATCCTGATAATGAAATATTGTTATTTTTAGAATATTTATAATAACTAACAAAACTAACAGGTTAAAAACTACACAAGGGTTTTTTAATTAATTTTTAAGTGTAGTTGAGGATGTATATGACCATGCCAATAAAAATTTGTATTTATATAGCATTTTTTGTTAAGGTTAGGGTAAAATAATTATCAAAAAAAAGTGTATTTTAGATTCATTATATGTATACTTACGTTTTAGATATTTGCTATTGTTATAGTTACTATTTTCTCTCTTGGGTCAAAATCTGTTCATATTTTGTTACAAAAAATATGCTTGAAAGTTAATTGTATAGGTATAACATTTAGTAAAAAGATTTTTTTTAATAATATTGGTATTCAGTTTTTTTATTACTCATAGTAGTATTTTAATTATATGACTCATTTTCCCATTATAACAATTTTGCGAGGAAAATGTGACATCAAAATAATACCCATTTAACTAATTAATATAATCAATATCGTAAAAAAATATATAATAATGGTTCTTTTTTGAAAAAAATTCGTTGAAATATAAAATTTCTCAATATTATGTCATTTTATACATGTAGATAAAATAACCAAACATTTTTAATAAAACCAGTGAACAATATTATGTTATTATACTTTTTCCATATACTAAAATGGTTCAGAGTAATGTTAAGTATAATAATTATAATGATAACGAAATTATAATCCATATATCTAATAGTATTTGGACCAAAATAATATATTTACCCCATCTTACCTTATCATTTTATTATATGATTTTTACTTTTTAAAGTGTAATTTTGTCATTATTATTAAAAAAGTAAAAACGTATTGTATTATTTTCTGATTTTGTAATTTCATTTTTTTAATAACAGTTAAAGGAGTTTTTTTTTTTTTTAATAAAAAGTAAACTTACATATTGCAGACGAATAAAAACTTAAATCACGCAAGTTGTTCATATGCGTAAAACGTCATATTTTTAATGTTTTGTAGTAAGCATTTCGTTCGTATTAGTTATCTACTTTTAAATATGAAAACGAACAAAATTATCTAGCTAAATATTGTAGCTTTTTTAATTCCAAGCAAAAATTTTTTTATACTTGAATAGAGTATATATATTATGTATATATATATATGAACCTTTATGACATTATTCAGTTAACGAATTCAAAAAATTAATTTTACTGAAAAACATGTGAGAAAGTTTATAAACGCTAAAGTTGATTATATTCAATGATGTGCATAATTCCATCGGTATTTCGTATACTTCATTAAAATTACAATAACCAATTCTATAAAAACATTTATATTTAAACTGAAAACTTATTGCATTAAGCCAGTTAATTTTTAATACAAATTAGATGGCTTAATAGATATTGAGCGAATTAGTCAGTCAAAATAATCACTACATAACTGGGTGGGTCGTATGTAATTTATAAATTTTATGTAATATTTATTTGAAGAGTGTTACGTTATTAAATAAATCAAAGAATCACTTTTTATTTTTTTGAATTTTTAATAAAATATGAGTTTGTTGAGGGGTAAAGTTATAATTAAAGGGAAAGATGCTAGGGTAACTTAGTATCCCTATAATGGAGGGTGGGGTAAGTTAAAACTTTTAATCTTAAATTGAATCACGAGCAAATTATTTTATACATAAAAATTTCATGTCGAAAATCCTACTAATACTCTCTTTATTTCAATAAGACTTATAATCTCAAATCATTTTTATGCGTGATGTTTATCTTTAGCTATTGCGATAAAAATGTTTTTATTCATTTATCCACGCTCATGTTTAAACCTTATTATTTAAAACTTTATATCGTAAAATATCAACATAATAACGTTTTTGTAAGAAAGTATAAGTACAATTAAAAACAAATATTATTTAAATTATCCACGAACATTTTTTCATGTTTTGGTTATATTATGTTATATTTCAAAATACTTCTAAAAATAAAGTTTGAAACCATTATAATATTTTTTTAATCCAAGAATAGCAATTTTCTCCTCTCTTCACTACTTAGGATCCTTAATACGGAGAAGTCTTTAGGAATAACAACTTTAAAAACTTATCGAATTAATAAAAAATGATATATTTGAAAAATAGTTCTTTTATTGCTCATTACACTTTTGGAATGAGTAATATTTAACTCAACATTTTTGTGTATAAAATTTCCCTCTCAATAAAAGATTATAGGGGTTGGCTCTATTTGTACTGAAGATTAGTATCCAAAACCGATGTAATTTTATTTTGATATCTTTTTTATCAATATTTTTATAGGAAGTCTTTTAAATATTATGTCGTGATTAGCAAAAAAAAAAAGTATTTAATTCAAAGGATCGTTTTCGTATTTGTGTAGAAAACTATAAGAGTGTCTTTAAAATATTTTTTTTAATTACACCCAAATTAAGGAGAGATATTTTAAATATGAAATATTTTTAATCTAATTACTGATAACTAATAATAATTCTAAGTCATTTTGAGTATTTATATATAATTAAATAATATTGAAAAAATTCAACTGAGCATTATTATTTCCACATTTTGAAGATACCGTTTTTCAACATAAAATAAAAACATCAATGTTTTTTTATAAGTTAGAAAATTAAAAAATAATGTTTTAATTATTTTTTACTCACGAATTTTGATGTTGAGTTAATTGAATTAAAAAATATTAGAACGTTGACAATGAAACGTAAGTATTAATGAGGACATGTTAACCATGTAAATTATAATACTTAAAGAAGGCTCCAAATAACAACTGTGAGCACCGCGAGAGAGACAAAAATTGATTGAGCATTACTCAAGTCAAGTCAGGACGTTCGTTGACGATTCTTCGGTATTTTTTGTCGCAGTACACGTCATTATGACCTATTTATTATCATAAAACACAATGATACTCACGATCTATTGCAGTTTGACTAATATCATCTAATATTATAGTCATTTCAGTGATTATTGTCAAACATTATACTAAAAACTATTAATATTATCATAAAAGTAAATTAATTAAAAAATATATCTTTATTTTAAAGTTGGTTTATAATGATAATGTTAAGTGCAGAGAGGTATTTAAGACTTTGTCGCCATAATTTATATGCCCGTTAATACATAAGTTTAGTAGCTCTATATTAATTAAAAAACCATTAAGAAAATTATTATTATTGGTTCTTGAAATTGCCCCGTTAAAATTCTTAAGGAGCACCGGATTCGGATCAAAGGCTCGACTACTTTTTTTATTAAAAGGCCCAATTACACGTAACATAGGAGCATTATTAAAACTTATATTAAATACTATAAGGTAAAAAAAAATTATCCCGACGACTTATCTTCAACGTGCAAATGGCCGCCGTAGTTAAAAACATAATATTTATGTGTTAAAATTTCGATTTTATATATTCAACTTTAAATTGCTGTAAATTTTTGAAAAATGTATAGATCATTAAAATTTTTCTATGAGAAATACTTTTTAAATACTCCTTTCATTGCACATACATTCTTTTTAAATCGGACCACTTTTCCTTTATACATGAGTGTCAAAATTTTAAACATGGATATAAAAAGTTTTTTAACTTGAAATTGTTCCGAAAATATTGACACTTTTGTATATATCTTTAAATTAAAGCTTATAAAATATACTTTAATTTGGAAAAAAAAATTGACTTGTGGACTTAATTTGGTGGTGAAAACTGACATCAAAGTTAAAGAAAAAATTACGATTTTGTTTTTAAGTTGAAATATTTAAAAAAATTGTAATAAATTGTTGTACAAAAACTTATGTAAAAGTATATTTAAGAAATTAGTGTAAACTGTATTGGCGTATTAAGATAGAGGTAAAAAGTGACTAATCTTAATCTTAATTTTTTATTCAAAAATATTTATTTTGACTTTAAGCTTATAAGCTTTAAAAAGAAATATTTTATAATTTGTGTAAGTTTATTTAAATCATAAAAAAGGTTGGGTCTACGTTTCCCCCCTCCAAACTTTTTTTTCAATTTTACAACGTTATTAGTTTTTAAACAATATTAAACTAGTTAAATTTTCTATTTTAAAATACCTTATAAGGGGACACTACTAATTTTCACATATATTATATGAATCTAACTGGAATTGAATATAAAGCTATATTTATTTTAAATTTTTGCTTCTTTTAAATCGAGAAAAACGAAATTTTGAACTAGTTTAAATTGTTCTTTTTATCTATCGATAAACGCGATTTGTGGTTGTCGCGTTGGTAACACTATAATATTTCACATTTAAAGTACGAGGCTTAAATTCTGCTTGTTAAAATGATTTTCTTTTGCAATTTTCTCTTAGTTCTTTTTGAGTTAGAAAAAAAATCAAAATTCTTTTGATTTATATTGAATAACTTTAATGTATAACAAAAACTCCATCACTGTAGTCTCATCTGTGAGAAAGAATTTCTTATTAAAATGATTAAACTGTATGATTTTATTTTTGTGTCAGTTATTTTATTTTTCTCAGCTCACACTTGATCAATTATTTTTAACGATTTTTCAAATGATCACAACTAGTTTAATATATTACCCTCAAAAATTAAAAAAAAATTCCACTGTGCGGAATACATTGTATAATACATTATTAAATTTAAATCTAATCTTATGACATGAGTCTATGACATACCAACATTTTATTACAATCAAATTACTAGAATAAAAATATATAATAAAACTATCACTTTTTGTTTACTTGGGTCATATGATTTTAATAAAAAGCGTAGATAGATCTATTAGAAAACAATGATGTACCAGTTGGTTTCTCAACTATGACACAATTTATTTTATAAATAAAATCTCAACATTTCCTTTTGTACTGTTTATAATTGATTAAAAAAAAAAATTAAATAAAAAATGAATATTATGTTTATTTAAAATATGTATAGTAAAATAAGGTGCGACGACCAAAGCATCCATTATATAGTTTATACTTAGATAATCAATTTTTTTCATAACATAGTGTAGGTTTTCATTTTAAACTGATAACGTAAAAATTATACTGCAATTACGTACAATTATACATTGTATAGTAATTATTACAATGCATTTTAGTTAATGACATGAACACAATAACATATTAAAAATTCCTTACAATCAAATAATTAGAATAATAACAGATAATAAACTAGCTTTCGCTATCAGATACATAAAATAAGTGTAAAAAAATTATGCATCCTGTTTTTACTTCAATTGCAATTGTTAGTTTGTAAATACTTTATTTTTAAATAACTTAAATAATTCATTAGGTAAATAGTTGATGAAATATATATATTTATTATTGATCATTAGTATATATAATATCGTATGTTCATCTATTTGAGAAATACAAATTGATATCAATAAATATTTAAATAATTGGTGACGTTAATTTCATAAAATTAAAATGAAAGTTTTTCAAACTAAAGTAATGGTTTTTAAAATGTTACTATTGTTAGATATAGTTTTGAGCTTAGAAAGAACACCGCTTATGCCAAATTTGCCTGTAGTGAGTCCTGAAAATTATATTAGTTTAAGTAAAAATTTAAATCTGACTAAACAAAATCAAAATCTAATTTATTCGTTATGATCCAATGTTGTAAAATAATTAAATATAAAAATCAAACGATTTGCTTTGTTGTACGAGTACGTATGTGTGTCAATTTTAACTGCATAATCTTATAATTTTTCTCAACAACCCATTTATAAATAAAAATTACAAATTATTAAATTAAATGCCGTTATATTAAGTTAATAACAAAGCTAATCCAAACATTATTTAGGTTTTTGGGACATTTTTACTACGTCTAGTAATTTAGTTGACCTATATATTTTTTTTTTCAAAAATTTGTAACTTTAATAATTGTAGAAACTTCATTTAACCTAATATTAGTTTAATTTAAATAAAGTTTAAATTCAGTTACAGTTTCAAAGGCGGTGTCATTATATTTTTGGTTTCTGTAATCATTTTTATAACGTACTAAAAACAAATTTGATACAAATGGAATAATTTACTAAATATTTGAAAAAATATCAAAAAACTGAAATAACATCGGTTCCTAGTCTTAGTTGATAATTTAAAAAATGTCATCAACTGGGAAACTATTTAATAACCCATTTTTAACTTAATTTATATTATCTATATTATTAATTTAATAAAGCAATATTATATTAGTGACAACATACGACACAAATGAAAATTAATTTATTACATTTAACAGAAATTATCCATTAATGATAAATTAACAAACTATATTTTCAGGGAAAGTATAAATTAAAATTCAAAGCTATTTCTGTTTGTAATGAAACCATTGATTATCCAATGAAATTCAAATACTATTTGTCAAAAGCTTCTACGTCAAGAGTGCTTTTAATGGGAAACATTACATTGAGAATTCCATTTGATGATAATTTAAACGTATGGATTTCTTATATGATTAAATATTCTTAAGAAACATTAATTATTTCTGCTTTTGAAGTTCAACGTCAATCTGGCTGTATGGTCGAAAATTGGAGGTTGGAAAGATAATGCATATCTTTATCAAAATAATAAAGCATGTTCATCACTAAAATATCTTTTGGGAAAAGTATGGAATGAATACATCGAAAAACATAATTTTACAGATTGTCCAATTCAACCGGTCTGTTCAATATTACAATATTTTTTTAACTATGGATAGAAATTTGATTTTACAATAATTATTTTCAAAATAATTTTAGGGTTTTTATAAACTAAATGGTTTTGACTTATCATATTTGGATCAAACCGATGTTCCAAAAGAATTCTTTTACGGCACTTACAAACAAAAAATCTTTTACTCAAATAAAAAGAATGATCAAGTTGGCTGTTATTTTATTATATTCGATTTATTACGTCCTTGGGAGTAAAAGAGTTTTTGTTTTTATAATCAGTTTAATTCATTTATTTTGTTACCTTTTGATAATTATTATATTTGAAAATGTATACATTTTGTAAACTTATAGAACACTTTTATCAATAGTAGTTTGTCATTGTATTATATTTCCTATTAAACCAAATTTGCATTGAAAAAAATAATTTAACTATTTGTATTAACAATTTAGGATACAATGTAATTGACAATATTGAAAAAAAACCATGTCAAATTTTATTCTTTAACAACAAAATCAAAAACTTTTCTTTACAAATCACTTACAAAAAAAATTATATTTAGTATCCATTTACTAGCTGGAGTGACGAAAACCAAGTCTTCACGCTAGCTTTTGTAAAAAATTGGTGAAAACCTTTAACGACGTTAAAAGAAAATGTATACCTACGGACGCTGCTTGATATTATAGAAAAGTGAAAACTGATCATGGTTCATGTAGTTATTTCGAAGAATATAATGAATACATTAAAGAAACGCGTTTATTTTTACTTCCTAAAAATCTGGATATGCTTTTAAAGTTAATTATCTATCATACATCAATGTATAGAAGATACACTTGGTATTGAATAATGTAAGTTTTGAATTGTTTACGCTTTAGAACGTTCGTGTAATCGTTGATGTTTAAAATTTTAAAGAAAGATGTATGATAGTATTATATTAATATATAGATGTATTATTAAATTGTAGTTTTATGACGGTAATTAAGAAAGTTCTAATCAAATAAAGAGCGTTTATATTTTTTATTTTATCTATGATTTAAAATTCCAAAATACTTCACTGCGAAGTACACCAAATGACGAGGAATAAAGTTATGTGGCATTACACTTAAAAATAAACAATTTTTTTATCATTATTCGTTCGATAAAATCTTTGTTGAATAGATAATTTTTTTTTTAGTTGAATGATTTTTTTGTTAACTTAATAAAATACTTGTTAATTTGATTCCTCCCAGAAAAATGTTGAAAATCCGTTACTGGTGCTTGAGTCTAGCACTTTCCAACAGCACTTGGAACTAGTATGATTCATTCAAAAATTAGTAAAATTTAAAAATATAATTTATTGTACCATTATTAAATATAAAATATACTTGAAAGCATTTGTTTTTTCAATATATAACGAACATCAACAATATACAATATAATTATTAATATATAAAAAAATAAGTCAAAAAAATAATTTGTTTGTTTAACTTAATAATAATATACAGTAAAATAAAATTATTAAAATGGCTTTACCAAATTTGACAGAAATCATAAGTATAATTAAAATATATATGAAAAGGAATTAGGAGCATTTATCAAGTGATTTAAGTAAATTTTGTTTCTTTGTTATGTCTGTGATAGTTTTTATGCTAAATAAGAAATTGGTTTTTATGCAGTCTTTTGAAATGTTTTTTTTATATTAAAGATGCATCGTGTGTAAATAAATTAGTTCAATTGAATTATTCTATCAAAGAATAGTTCTGAATGTTTCACTGATTACAAAATTGATCTGCTTAAAATAAAAATAGGTTTTACAAGTTATATAACAATTCCTGCTTATTCGTTATCATACGAAAAATAAGGGCGCGCGTATTTATCTAATAGACAGGAAAGATTGTTTTGGTAAAATATTTTTCACTACAAAATTATTGATAAGAACAAAACAATTAGGAAACGTACTTTTGAGGAATGAGATTGTAGGACATTATTACATCAATATAAACTAATATCAGAATGAATTACCTAGGAAAATATTCTTTATGAAAGTAATTATTACGTATCTTACTATTATGGAATATATTACTACATTTATGGAGAATAAAGTAATTTTTTTTCAATTTTTAAGGGTGATTTATTCAACTATTCACGATTTGTAATCTTTTGACGTACTGTTCATCAAAATAGGTTCAGTATGAGCTGAAAATAAGTGGTATCAGACACAAAAAAAAACACATAGTAAATATAATACCTTCTGAAATTCACACCGAAGCTAAAACTATAATGAAATATTAAATTGTCATTTATCAATTATATAAACCAAACTAATGTCTAGTAAACATGACATTAAGTCAAGGGGGCTATACTCCCTCATAGTTATGCCAATACCAAAATAGTTTGATTTCTGAAACAGAAATGTGACAAAATCTCATAACATTGATTCTTGTTTAATTTGTAAACATTTATTTCTTTTATCTTCTATCTTCCATGTCTTTTGACACAAAAATTTTATTAATATCATATATTTGGAAAAGTCAATTATACATATTTTATGTATAATTGACTTTTCATATATTAATAAAATTATAATCGTATTAATTTTATTATTAATGTATTAGCTTAATACATTTCATTGTATATAATTACTGTATACTTTAAAATTGAATATTAATAGGGAAGAATATTATTATTAATATAGATGTATAGTTTTACATAGGAACACATTAACTTCAAATCATATTTATCATACAAATTTAATTTCGTTGAATATTTTATTTTTTACTTTAACTTTTTGTTGAAAGTATTTATATATAAAAAACGGTAGCACAGTGGGGTCGAGGCACAGTGTGGACGAGGCATAGATGGGACAAGTATAGATGATATCTGACAGTGATTAAAATCACTATCATAAGAAACGCTTCGATGCAAATCTGTAGATAGTGTTTCCTTTAGAGAAATTGGTGAAATATTTTAAAAGCAACATGAACTCTTNAATCTGTAGATAGTGTTTAATTTAAACAAATATGACTAGTTTATATATTTTACCGATTAATATTTTCCTTATCAATGTTTATTAGTGTATATACAGTTCTTTCAAAATAATTTTCTCAATAAATATTTTCCTCGGAAGTCTTTAAAATACTATTCTTGGGGATATTTTCCGAAGTATTACGGTTCTGAAAAATATTATTACTATCATATGTGATTCATTTTAATAACTATCTTTCAAATATCATTCTTATTAGATATTGTTTTATGATGATCTATTCCGTATAATTTAACTACTGATAAGTGTTTTCTTAATTTATATAACGCTCCGAAAATAACATTCCCTTATCAGCATTAGTATGGAATCTGTGATTTAACCAAATTAAATGTTATCTAAAATGCGGTTAAATATGCTGACAATTATTTTGACTACAAATAGGAAGTTTAAAGTAATATTTTTTATAGTCGATTTAAATGAATTGTGATAATACACAAATTCTGAAAGTTTGGATATCAACCATTAAAAAAAATTATGTATTACATGAATTTTTTTTTTTTATAAAATATATTAATTAATATTATTTTCTGATGACGAATCTAGAGAAACCAAGTTTTCTTAAATAAGCAAAAATGTTTAGGAAATTAATGAAATATAAGACAATAGAAGCTATATTATGTAGAAAAAAAATCAAGTTATATAAATATTATTCAAAGATTGAAAAAAATGAAGAGCTATTAAATTTTTTTCAAGAAAATTTGGGTAAGAAAAAAATTGCATTATTATCTGGAAAATGTATTACAATACATTATAATAATAAATATTTTTTCAGGGATATCTTTGAACCAAACAAAACTGATTTTATCTAGGTATCCCTCTTTTAATAACATTTCTTCATCAACGTTACTGCACAATATAACTTTTATGATGGTAATTAAGAATTACGTATTTATCCGTTAAGATAAAATTCATTTTTCATTAGTTTTTATAATTAATACATTACTAAATATCATATTTATTAGAATTTACACATTTAAAATCTAGCATACATTTTAAATAGTTTTACAATATATTGAAATAAAATTAATCTACTTTAGGAATTTGGAATTATCAAAGGTGATATAATTAAAACACCTCAGGTGTTACTTTTACATACAATAACGATGAAAAACTATATACTATTATTGGAAGAAGGAGGATTCTATAAATCAAAAATTAGTCCATTAGTATTGTCAAAGTAAGATTCTGATTAATTTAAAAACTTAGAATTTTTTTTTCTTAATAATTTAATATTTTGTTAAATTTTAATTGTTTGTTAATAATTAAATAATTGATATTTTTAAGTTATAGAAAAAATTTATTTTATTTTGATTACAAAAAAATTAATTTTAAGATATATTTTAAAATTACAAATAAATTGAAAATCTTAAAATTTTGTTTTTAAGCTGTGCATCTATTTAATGTTTAGGTTTAAACAAATGACACAAAAATCTATAGAAACATTAAAAAATGATATGTTAATTCCAAAGAGTATGGATGTTGAACAGAATTTATTATCGTATGTCCAACTTCCTTCTAATTTTTACCAAACAGATTATAATGATCTACTTTCATGGTCTCAAGTTCAAGAAAATGTACTAAAATTATATATACATTGTAAACTTCATATGGATTATGATAGTATCGAATATGCTTTAAGTATTTACCATAGACTACGTAATAAAAGTTTTAGGTTAGTTGAAAGAACTATTGACATTTTACTCAATGAACTTAACTTTAGTGAAGAGAAGGTAAGAGAGTTATTTAAAAGTAAATAGTATCAAAAAACTACATTTTTTTATGTTATTTTGTAGGTTAGAAAACATCCTTATTTAATTCATAGTGATCCAGATAATATATTAAATATTTTAAATAATTGTAAAGAACTTTGTGGTATGGACACTAAAACAGTTTTAATAAAACATCCGAAAATAATTTTAACACCTTTTGAAAATATTCAAAGTATACAAAAACATTTTAAGGTTTATAGTAAATTCTTTTTGTAAAATAAATTTTTCTTTTAAAAAATACTGAATAATTTTACTTTAGGACTTTTGTATTCCTGAATCAACTTTATCAAAAGCACCTAAAATATATACACTTGGGAGCACTACAGTTTATGAGCGGTTATGTCAACTAAAAAAAACACCAGAATTAGCTTCATTTATGAGTAATCCTCAAGTTGCTAGATTAATATATTATTATAAAAAAGTAAATTTAAGACTAAATTATTTACAAAGCAAGAATTGTGTATCAATTCACTTGTTAGCATCAAATTCTGTATCTTTTAACAGGTAATTTATTAATTTTAATATTTTTTTATGTAATATATGTTAGAAAAATAAATAATCGTTTATAGATTTAATGGAAATGGCAGCGATAAAGTAACCTCTAATGATACAATGATTTACATTGCTACAGAATTGGATGAAAATAAAAAGAAATTGCGTACAATGTTGGCTAGACATCCATACTGGCACTATATTTCCTTATTAAAAATTAGGCAAACATGTGAATATTTAAAAAGAAAAAAATTTACTAAAGAACAAATATGTCATAATATTCAAGTCTTATTGTATCCTAAGTAATATGGAATATTTTATAGTTATAGTGAAATTATATGAGTATTTTATTTTAGAGAAAAAATTGATAAGGCTTTACAAGATATTCAAAATATGAAAGATATATGTTTTTTGAAAAATTCATCTGGAATAATTAAAACAGAATTTGTGTTGTCTTTAGTATTATACAATTTAGAAATGGAACATCATTTTTCTGGTGACGGCGTTTGGAGTACTAATGAAAAGAATAAACAGTTCTCTTCCTCAGCTTCCTTTAAACATGCATCTAAAGATACTGAGGAGCTAGATCATGTACCTTCTCACATGCCAGTAGCTTTAGAATGAAAAAGATAATTTTTTATGTACTACTTTGACTTATTATTACTTATTGAACTAATAGCATTTATTTCAGCATACAAATTATTAATTGTTGAACATAATTAACAATGATTATGTGCTCTTTGTTATTTTTATTATTATTTAGATAACATCTAATTTGTACATAAATAAAAAATGCTATGTGTTCATGGTAATGTTTTAAGACTAAAATCAACATAATTTTTAAGTGTTCTAGAAAATCTAAAATGTCCCTAGTTGATGTATATATTTGTTTTTTGTACAGTGTTATAATAGAGTGAATATAAATTTAATATAGTGAGTTATTTAAAAAAATTATGACATTACTTTTTACCATAAACAATATTTTATTATTCATTTGTTTGTATGCGAGTGTCAACCAGATTTTTGAAGAATTATGAATGGGCTACATGTGTCTGATTTGACTAATTATTTAATTTTTATTAATGTTCGTTTATTAAATTTTAAATCTATCAAGTTAGATTTAGTTGTTATAGAGGTGGGCATTGTCCATACACTTGGACTTATTGGTCCATTGTGCGTACCTCTACCTGTAAAGTTGGAGAATAAAATAATTCTGTAAAAATTGGGGAATGTAATGATATTTCAAATAATTATTTTTTTATTCTTATTTATTAAAGTAACCTGATCTTAGTGATATCATACAACTGATCATTACTGAAGCATTAAAACATACAGGAACAACACTTGCTATTGAGTTATGAAACTTGAGAGTAGGGTTTATTTATATTGATTCATTTATATATAATTATTCTGTTATATAGTAATGATGTCCTCAAGTTTTAAGAAAAAATTCTTAAGTTTGGTTCTTAAAATGAAAAGAATCCCCTACTGATTTATTGTTTAAGTTTATATAGCTTTTCTATTAAATTATAGACTATTAGTGGTGGTAGTACAGAACCTTACCTCTATTACTATGCGCTAGGACAATGTGTTTCTTAACTAATACTTAGGCCAGCTGTAGTTTTATACAAAATGTATTTGTTAAAGTCAGAAAATATTATTATAGTTTTTAATAATGTAACAATTATATGAGAATTTTTTTTTTTTTTATGTAAATAAAGACTATATTACAAGCAATATATAGTATTTACTAAGTAGCATTGGCAATTCAATATAATAATAAATATTGGTAACTTATAATTATAAACAACTGAGTATTGCATTAAAGTATAAGTACATAATATAACATGCACTAAAAAGGACTATCATGTTTAAATCATACAAATAAAAAAAAATTTAGTAAACTTATAAAAAGTTTTATAAAAACAATAAATATTTTTACAATTAATAAAACTCATTTCATTAATTTTTTGACATCCTGTAAACATATTGTAGCTTCTTTAATTCCTTCTGCATAGTGATGTCTCTTTGCATTTTTCATGCCTTCAATACATGATTTTTCAGCTTCATTTAAAAGTCCTTGTTTCAAATAAATATTACCGAGATTAATATGAACTGATGAAAAACTTTCCATATCAGGTAAGTGTTGTCCTATTTTTACAGCTTTATTAAAAAATTTAAAAGCTTTTTTTACATTTCCAAGGGCATAACTTAATGTACCTAAATCATTCAATAATATTACATTCATTTCAAATGTTTCACCATTTAATTTAACACAAGTTTTATATGACTTCTTGAAATATTTATATGCTTTTTTGGTATTGCCTTGACTTAAAAGGAAGCGAGCATAAGAATCAAATGTTATTGATAATAAACCAAGAATGTCTTCATTATTTGGATCTTTTGTATTCAATTCTTCTAAGTGTTTCATACAGTGTTCATATCCAATTTCACACTTTCTAAATAAAAAGAAAAAAATAAATATGATACAATAATATAAAAATGATGACCAGTAAGATGGCATAAAATTAGTTGAAATCTTGAGTTAGTTAGAGATTTAAAGAATTTATTTTTTTCAGAACATTTACTTAATACATTTAAAAAAATATTTGTAAAGTTTGTCTCGTTTGTGTTAACACAATAGTCAAAAACAAATATTGAAATTTTTGGATAGGAAATAAATTGTAAGTAGATATATTCAATTACTTAAAATCATGCTGAGCTTCATATATTTTTGATAGTTTTAGACTAATGTGAAGCATATTAAGATCATTTTCATGTGCTCCTCTTGACATTAATCTTTGCATGACTAGAACGAAAAGTTTTTCAGCATTTGCAAAATCTGTCTTCATTAAAGCCCCATTAGCTAATACATCATAAACATATGTTAACCCATCATAACTTTTAATATTGTTTGCTATAGCTAGAGCATTATGTAGTGTTTGTTCAAAGGCTTCGTAATCTTCTTTCTAAAATAATTTAAGTAACAGATAAATATTTTTTTAAGAATTTAAAGAAATATAACTAAGATATTATTACAATATCAATTAATAAAAAAACTCAACATTTAATTAATTTATTGGAAGTATTTACTTGCAAAAATAGTAAACCACGTTTAATGGTATCAATCATTTTAGCTTCAGAATCTTCTTCATCTTTAATTCCAAAAAAACTTAGTAGTGAAAATCCCAAGAGTATAATGTTATGATCCTTTATAAAAGGTAATCGATTAATCGAAGAAGGCAATAAAATAGCCTTATGATGGAATTCAGAAATATGTGTAGATTTATAAATAATATGGGTTAATTTTATAACAGGGATAAATGATTTTATACGAATAAAAAATTCCATTTGTACTTATAAATAGTATAGTTGAAAACAAATCAAAATGACTAACAAAATTAGTGACCTACATTAGTTCTATGTTAAAAAAGGAGAAAGTTAAATAAAAGAAGTTTAATATATATATGTGTGTGTGAGGATACGATAATAATACCGCAAAAAAAATTGTTGAATCGTTAAAAGTTAACTCTTACAAAATTAAATTTATCTAGTCTGTGAAATATAATTTTTCTTGTATGATAACAATGATTAATGATAATTAAACACGTCCTTGTGATAATACTGAAGTACAACATAGTTTTTATCAAAACCAGTAAAATAAATTTCTTTCTTAAAAAGACAGAATTAAAGGTGGATAAGAATAATTTATGAATATTTACAAATATTGGGGGTAAAATATCAACAAAATTTTTACTGTGATAATAAAATAGTTTTAAGACGAAGTATGGAAAAAAAATGTTTGGCCTCAAAAAAGATGGCGCTTTTTGTGTTCACCGATGAACAGTTAGTAATCTAGTTTATTGTCTATATATTTGTGTTCAAGTGAGAGAAAAACATTTGTTACTGAAATTAAACTTATAATTAAATAATACAAAAAATTAAAAAAGTATTAAAAAAAATCTTTTTACCATATATAGTTATTATTGGAGTAACGTCGTCTAAAAGTTTACCCTGATACACCATCACTAGAATTAGTACACAGGATAAATCTATTCTGTATTCTATTTTTCCTATTTGGAAAATAACATTCAATTTTTCCAAACAAATTATTAAAATATATAACGTAATATTATGTTTTAGGATACAGGGATGAACAAAGAGTTTTTGGAGACGTGGGATGTCCAATGCAGGCTTTTGGTGTAAAAACCTTAAAATGAGCAAAATAAAGGTCATTAGAATAATATTTTTTATGGATAGAAAACCTTATAATTCAAATGTCTTTTATGAAGAATAATACTAATATACAATTTAGGATAGCTCTATATTTTAGGTATTTATCGCTTAGTGTGTTTTTTTCTTTAATTAGAACACCAGCAGACTGGAAGATTATGTTTTAACATAATTGTATTATACAATATTTGTTAATAACTAAATCATTATATTTCACTGTAATTTGGTCTACATTTTTAGTAGAAATTTCGAATTTGCTAACCAAGAAAATGGTCTAATAATTGATTTTTTTGAGTTTAGAGATTACTTTTTTTATTTATTTATAGTTTTTGAAATAAACAGTCTTGTAAAAAATACTAAAATTAAAAGGAAAATAATTATTTTGTGATTATCGCATTTAATAACAAAAATATCACAAGTAGATTTTACATAATTTTAATACAAAAACTTATTTTGGTTATAAGTGTAGATACGATTTATTACGGTTTATCTTATCTGTAGAATACGTTAATTAAAAATATTAATGATAATGTCCTGAAGTTTTTATAAATTTCAAGACTTTATATTATATTTAAGTTTTAAAACGGTAGCACAGTGTCGCGGCACAGTATGGACGTGGCATATTTGGGACAAGTAAAGATAGTATCTGACAGTGATTAAAATCAAAAAAAACTCTTCCATGCATATCTGTAGATAGTGTTTAATTTTGAGAATTTGGTGAATTATTCCAAAGGTAAGAAGGGTAATATTTTTAACTAGACACTAATTGTGATCATTTGATGAATTGTTTAAAAAAATGATCAAGTGAGAGCTGAGAAAAATTAATAAGACAAAAAAAAAACCATTTAAAGTAAAATATTTTAATATGAGTAAGAAATTCCTTTTCACTAAGGTAGACTACAGTGATGATGTCCTTGATATTCGTTGAAGTTATACAATCTAAATGAGATAAAATCTAATGAATTTTATTTCTACCTCAAAAATAAATAAGAAAAAAATACAAAAAATGTCTTTTAATGATTGGGGTTCGTAACTCAATCACTGAGGATATAAGACTATATTATATTCGATGCAGCTTCTGTGCATTAAATAATATTGTAGCTAAAAATGACAATTTAAATTAGTTCAAAAATTCAAAGTAGATTCAAAAATCTACAAATTTGTATCGAACGAACAATAGTTTTATTTGTTAAAAGATGAATTATATATACATGGAAGTATATGTTTTTTAATTAATAAAGTGTAAAAAAAGACTTTAAATAAAACAATAGTAATATACCTTAAAATCCTTTATTTATCATATATTTAGGTATAACTTGACATATAACATAAATTAATTTAATTGTAATTTACAATTACATTTGTAGTATAGTGTATTTTATTAGAATAGTACATATTATAGTATTTTATAATAATAATAACTCTTCGGGAAAATATTCCTTTAGAAAATGTTATTCCCAATGATATATTTATTAATAACTTAATATGTTGTAATAATTTTCCGAAAAAATATTTTCCTTAGTAATATATTCCATAATAGTAAGATACGTAATAATTACTTTCATAAAGAATATTTTCCTAGGTAATTCATTCTGATATTAATTTATATTGATGTAATACTGTCCTATAATCAATGATCAGTCTAGTTAAAGTGTCTAGTTAAAGATATTATCCTCCTTACTTTTGGAATAATTCATCAATTTCTCATAATTAAACACTATCTACAGATTTGCATCAAAGCATTTCTTACGATAGTGATTTTAAACACTGTCAGATATTACCTATACTTTAGATGTTCCAACTATGCCACGTCCACTCTGTGCCGTGACCCCACTGTGCTATTGTTTTTTATTGTTATAATTTTAGATATTAACTTTGCCGATAATACATTTTTTTTGAGAATCCAATTATTAACCAAGGTACTGGAAGGTTTAAAAAACATTTCAAATTTTTAATAACATTTTCAAAAAAACCCAGTACAGAGGGGTCGTGGCACAGTGATGACGTGGCATAGTTGGATCAAGTATAATGATATCTGACAGTGATTAAAATCACTATCAAAATAAAACGCTTCGATGCAAATCTTTAGATAGTGTTTAATTTTAAAAAATTTTATATTTTTAAATTAGCATTTTAAAGTAAAAAATGTAAAATATAAAATCGAGAATTTTTACACAAAAATAGTATTCGGTAGCCATTTTCACCACGAAGACAAGTCCAGAGGTCAAATTTTTTTTTCCATAATAAAGTACATTACATCAGCTTTAATTTAAGATATATATAAAAGTGTCAGACCTTCCTAAACCTTTTCAAAAGTTAAGTTGAAAAAGTTGTCATTTTAAATCCCCCACTGTGGGAAGGTGGTAAAGGGTTAAATTTATGAAAAAAATATACCAAATGATAGGTAAAGACATCAAGCATCTATAAAAAAAAATTATATTGATATTTCCATTTTTGAAAAAGTTACGGCAGTTTTAAGTAAAAAAAATTGAAAAAATTTCAAAAACTAGCCATTTTTAAATTTGTAATTTTATTGGAGGTTTCCCCCATTTACGGGGAACGAGGGAAATTTTTTCAACAGACACAAAAAAAATAAAATCATATAGTAAAACCAATATCTTCTCATTGCATCGAAGCTAAAAAATGTAATTAGCACAACTATAATAATAAAAATTAATTTACAGTTTAAGTAATAAAAATATGAATTAATAATAAACTTGTACTATTTAGTTCATTTAATCATAAAATTGGAACATTCTATTTTCTTAAAATATCCAGTTAGGTATTACACATAAAATTGTTTTTTAAATCATTCAAATATTTTTTTCCTATTTATCTAATGGTTGCTATTAAATATTTCATATTTTAAAAAGATTTAAACTTTTTAGTGGAAATTGCGTAGATTAATATAAACTGTATGAAATATTTATATTGTACACTAAATATAGCGTAAGGTGAAATAAAGTGGCTTCGGTATTACTAAATAGTATATTAAACAAGTTAATGGTTAACACTTATTATCAGGAATTCAAGAAGTATCTCGCATGATGTATTTTATAGTTAAATAATTCTAAAAACTGGTATTGATTTTTGCGATAAATATTAAAACTTAATAACATAACTACAAGAGAATTAATGTGTCACACTCCGTGTCCAGGCATCTCGAGATAGTGTTCAACATTTCATTAGCGATTTTCATGTGACCAACCGAAAAGATATGTAATGTTTATATGTTAGCCATTAAAATTCAATTGTACAATGCGGTATATATTTCTGTACAAAGAAAGTTCATTATAAATCATCTCAATATATATATATACTTTTATTTTTCACCAGTTGATAAGCATCTGCAATTTTTTAAACTTTAAAAATAAAATTGTAATAATTATTTCTTAAAACATGATATAAATTTCTGTCTGATGAAATGTCATGTATGGAATGAAAAAAAATTATTAAATGAAAAAGATACAAATAAAAATTAAATTATTGTGTATTATCCACAAAGTTGTGGCCATATAAATGAAGCACCATGATGATTTTTTAGTTTTATAGATCACATTACCCAAATTGCTATAATTAATATTAACAAATGACTTGTAAATTTTTGTTGATACAATAATTTCTTTTGAAAACGATTGCTGTTCATTGTAGTCATATGAACTACTATCAATAGACGGTTCTGGTTTGTTTGATTGGAGTTGGATGATTTGATTTTTTTCAGATGTCTTTTCTAATAATTTCTCAATTTTGGCTGAACAATTATCGTAACGAGCTTTATATTCAGTTTTTTTTAGTATCCATTCTTTATGATAATGTAGGTAGGAATAAATAGTTTGCATTTTATTGCAACCGCATAGAAATTCATATTCGCACTTGTGATTTTTTATAATATGAAAAACATCCGTGAAAATTGCGATTACAGAATTTTTATCAGTGATCAATGGTGCGCCTAAATCACCTTTACACGGCATCTTTTTACCTCTCTCAGGAAATACAAATTTCTCCCATTTACCTTCGATCTTTCTAGGGGTCCTGTTAAAAGCAATTAGCAGTCATAATAAAATAAATATAAATACATTAAAATTTTATATCTTATATTATGGAATATAAAATTAATATTAGTATAAAATATTTTTAGTATAAACTTAAATACAATACTCACGAGTAAAGATGTAAAAAACCTAAAAAAAAAATATCAGAAAAAAAACATTTATTCGTTTTTATGTTGATAGCTGGAAAACGAATAAAACGTTAAATTTTAAATAACTTATTCCCAATATTTTAAAATTATATTATATAGAGTAAGTAAGGAAACAGGTTTCTATTGTTCTCATATTTTGTAACAATTGACTCGTTTCCTTGCTATTTAAACACCCTGTAGAGTATGTTATTGGTTTAAGTCATCATCAGGAATGAAATGAGAAGGCATTGCCTTCTAGGAAATTTAGCAATTATATGCATTGTTATAAAAAAATTATTTTTTGAGGTAGAGAAATTAAATTTAGCCTTCCCAAAAATAGACCGTCCTACGTCTATACTTACAACTATCCCCAAATATGGTACAAGATTGAACGAGTACATAAAAAGATGCTTAAAATGCCTTGAATCAATAAAAATACTATTTTCCAAAAAAAAAAAGTAGTCAATATACAATATGTATAAAAATGAACAACAAAATCAAAAGTCTTCTGCGTCAAACAATATGATAGTAGATTCTGAAAGAAATTTCGTCTGCATCTGGCCTTTGAATTATCAGATGGTTATTATTATTGATTTTAATTATAAGTATAATAGTTACTTAGTGAAATCCGGCTATTATGGAATTAATTGCTCTTTAAAAAATCTTTTCCAAAAAACGCTACTTTAATGAACTATATTTATGATGTACTTGTAAAATTTGAGATCTATACCTCAAATTTGAGCCACTATACTTAGCTTTGAAAGTTGATTTTAATGGTCATTATACAAATATCAAAGCTGAACTATCCCTATAACTGTTTTTAGTTTCAATCAATAATTATACTTTTTATATGCCTGATAAGAAATTTTATAAACATTTCAAAAATATAATTTTTCTGGCATAATTAGATAGTGAAATAATTGTTGTTAACATTAACACTGATATTATCACAATATTTTTATAAAAATTATCTTTAATTTTAAAATGAAATACTTTTAATAAGCGATGTGCACAATCCTATATAATTTTTGACGCTGAAAATAGTGGTTTAATTAAATTTAAATCATCATTATGTCATAATATGCACAATGTTCTGCATTACGCATCTTACATTATCAATAAAAAATTACTACTCTATATTTACTACCAATTGTATACAACACAAATAATTAATTTATTTGTCATAACATATACACATTTGTACAATAGCTATTATATATGTATATACATGTTAAATTGATTATTGTATACTATGAATCTTATCTTAAAAATAATTATCATGTTATGTTCAAATTTTACACAATAAACTGAAAATCACTAAAAGCGCTGACGGCAACAACCCATGATGGGGGTAATTAAAAGTAATATAAAAAGGCGCTAATTTTCTAAGAGAGCAGAATTCTCTCTTCTTTTGAAGACCTGAATTCAACAAGGAATTCAGAATTCTTCTATTTTGATTTTGAACAAACTAGCCGCGACCCCGTGTTGTCGTCGGTACATTTTAAAGCGATATTGAATACAATTATTTTGCGTTAACACTTTATTTATTTAAAAGAGATAGTATAAATATTTACGCAAACTTTGACGATCTTTGTGCAAGCCAAATAAAAAAGTAAGTAAATTTATATTAACCCAATTATTTAGAATTAATAATCTGAGTAAAGAATGATAAAGCAATAGATCACATATTTATATTCAAACTTTATTAATTGTTACTGACTAGTTCGTATCTTATACATAATCACATTACATGGTATTCGTGAGATGGCCACCGCCTCTTCGTTGCCTCAGTGTATTATTTCAGGTACTTACTAGTTAGATCATTTGTAATATCTCTATAGAGAAACTTTAATGATTTCTTTTTATATCTACTTGTCTTTATTATTCTAAACCCTCGGACTCTACTACCCCGATAGAACCTCGTTGCTCCTGAATTGACCAAATCCCTAACATCCAATCTTGGTCAAATAAAATTCCCCATTCACCAGTTTTTGCTTATTTTTTTGTATTACTACAATTATTTGTAAAGTTATAGGGCTTTTCCTCATTCATTGATAAATAAATCGTATAAAATTGCTATAAGAGTTTTAAAATTATGTTATAGTCAGTAGTGTATCCAAAAGGGTAATAACTCCTCTTTCGTTGGTCAATTATGACTATTAACAGTATATGATTTTAGCGCTAGTAAAGGTAAGTAATAACTTATTCTTTGCTTATTATTATTAAGCAAAAAAAAAAAAATACAATAGTCTCTAACATTATTGTGAACCTTATATGTTAAAAATGGTCGGAATCTGTGAAATATTTAAAGCAAAAGTGTAATATCGTATTATGTCATTAATGTTATGCCTTTTTAGTTTATAAAAATAAAAAAATTTTTTGAAAAAAATTCAGATTTTAAACTTAGAAAAGTTAATTTTACAATCTCTGCAATAAAATTTTAACATAACCCATTATTTTGTTGAAATAAAAATGATATTAGAGCTCACCAATTTAGTTTGAAAGCATCTGGACCATAACTACTTTCCACTGTTATGAACTGCATATACTCGCCTTCGTATCTTCCTTGTAAATTACTAGTCATTGGAACATCGCCACATCCAAATACTTTGGCAGTAACTTTTTTAGTGTATTTATTCTTTGGATCTCCTTTATTTTTAAAAATGTCTGGGCATCCATTAAGTTTTGGAAAATCCACATTTTTAAAATATGGCTTATTAATTACCAAAATCATCAAATAATCATTTCCGATAGTTATATTGGAAGTTTTATTTTGTACTTCAAGTCCATTTTTTGGACATAACATTCTGAAAATCTATCAATGTTAGATGAACATAAACTAAAGGTACACTTAAAATATTAAATTTTGATGACTGCAAACTGATATAACCAGTTTCAATATTATTAATGTAATGATGAGCTACTATTCTATGCGAAAAATATTCTAGAATGATAAAATTTTCTTTAAACTTATAGATATGTTAAAATAAGTCAGAAATTATGTTAAGAGCAAGCACTTGTTTGTCCCTAACAATCAAATTATTTCGCCGTAACAGAGGCTACAATAAAATTCATAAAATTTATATAAATCGGAAATATGTCAGGAATGAGTAACTAGGTTAAACAAAAATACTATTTTAACACTGATTAAAATGAAATTTTTACACAGTAAATTAAAAACAAAGTTTTTTTTTTGGTATGTCTTTTTTTAGGAAAATTCAATGAAAACTCTTAGTAATAAATGTATCAATATTTTGTTGTGTTAGAATTAATTAATCAAGTAACTCTAACTTAATTAATAACTTTGTTTCTTTTTTTTATAAGTTAGTGTTCAGTTGTTGTGATTGATAGACTGAAGATGAAAAATGTTGACATGATATTTTATTTCCCCCTAGTATTTTGAATAATGTTTGAATTTCCAAAAAAGTATGTCGTCGGTAAGGTAAACGTCAAAAATGTTGTGAATAAAAATTTCGTAATAATCCATTAGTTTTCAAAAAGTCAATTCAATGATAATAAAAACTAAAAACATCAATATTGTTTATTATATAATAGCTGAAATTTATCGTGACATTTCCCTTTATAATAGTATTAATTGCTTCAACTAGATACGATTTGTGATCTTTAACGTATCGTTGAGTAAAATGGCTCCTGTAGAAGCGGAATAATTTTATGGACGGGCACAAAAAAAAAAACATGACATACTATAAGCAGTTAAATTTTAATTACGCATCGAAGCTAAAAATATACTATCTCTAAAACTAATAAAAATTTAGCGTTACAAGTATAGCATACTTCAAAATATGTGGTATCTTTTACAGCATTTGTGTTTGCTGTTAGTACATGTTTTTCTGTAATAATAACTCCTGATAATAACTCTACGTTCGTGATATTGCTTCTCTTATGTCTGAGTATGCTGACCACATAATTGATTTCATTTTTTTTATTTAAAATTTGCCCATTAGCAATTAATGGGTTAAATATGTAATCATTTTTGTTTTTTAATCCACGAGTTAATGGAAGTAATACTAATATAATAGTAATAATTAACATTATTAGTCATTTAAGTATACATAGCAAATAAACAATAAAAATATATTTATCGTTACTTGATTAAATTATCGAGCCAATCCAATATATATAAATATAAATAGAAATTCGTTTTTTTTCCAACAAATTCTAAGTTAAATTATTTATGTTGGTTCATTTTATATCTAAAATCAAGACTTCATAATTTTAAGAATCAATAATTATTGTTTATTTTTTTTTGTTAGGATATATCTCAAATTATGAAAATTACTTTTTACGCAAAAAAAAAACAAAGTTAATTTAATAATGTGATAAAATTATTAGAACTTAAGATAAGAAAGATTCAATTTAGTTTATAATATCTAAATACGGGGTTAATTAACTAAGCGATAATTTGATTTTACACCTAATACTAAATCATGTATAGGAAATAATTAATCAATAATAAAATTTCGCTAACACTGGTAAGCATATTATTTTATGTTGTATCATTTCATTTAGGAGCTTGTATTTCAATGAGATTGTCTTTAAATCTGTTTAATTTATATAAACTCATGTAGTTTGACTTATTTAAACTATTTTAGCTTAAATAATGGAATATATGAAACGTTATTAGCAACCATGGTAAACACACTTTTTTTATGTTTATCATACATATTTCCACAGTCATTTGTTTATTTTAAAATTGACGCTATTATTATTTTGAGTTCCAAATAATGTTTTCTAAAAGATTTTTATATTATTTTATACTGTTGACAATTTTAATAACTGCAAAGTGTAAACCTCTAAACAATTGGACACCTTCAGTGTCGTATGATGCACAAAGAGATGGATCAAATAAATATGAACAGTCAAAACTAGTTGGAGATGAACGAGACAATCAAAAGTTACGATCTTTGGCGCAAGTTAAATCCAATGTACAGCACCGTTCATTGGAACAGGATCAATATGGTCAACAGCTAGAACATTTAAGACAGAGTCGACCGAGTGAATTAAACTCCGGTTTAGATCAGGACCAACGTGGTCAACAGATTGAGAAGTTTCAACAAAATCACCCCCAATTATTCAAGTATAAAGAGCAAAATCAACAGGAACATCAGCTGTTACCCAAGAACAAAAACTTAAATCAGAATCAACTAAAAATAATAGAACAACCTCAAGTCCTTGAAGAACAAAATAAGCAGCTTGGGCAAATGGATAAACAATCACAACAAATACAATCAAATGTTCAGGATCAGTCGAAATTGCAAGAACAGACAAAATGCTGCAAAAGTTACTGTACAACTCCCTGTTGTACGCAAACCACTCGATGTTGTACCACCTGTCCACCGACATGCTCTAAGACATGTTTCACAACATGTCCTAGGACTTGCCCTAAAATGTGTTACACAACATGTTCAAGAACGTGTCCTCCTACGTGTCCCCCTACGTGTCCGCCTACATGCCCACCTACATGTCCACCTACTTGCCCCCCAACATGTAGAACCAGCCGTTGTTATACAACTTGCCCTCCCACGTGTTGTCGAACTCATTGTACTACGTGTTCAACTCCATGTTGTAATGAAGGTGCTAAGTTAAGTCTGCATACACATCAGTCAGTAAATGATGTAGTTCAAATATCTCATAAACCATATGCTTTTTCTTTTGAAAAACCATTAAGGGAATTAAGTGTAAATAATTAGAATCGAAACGTAACATATATGCTCATATAAGGAATTATAGTTTAAAATAATTTAAATTGTAAACTAGGGTGTAGTTTACCTGTTGTGTGATTATTGCGGGGAATTACGAAAACTCCAAAAGATCTTAGTACATATCATAATTTTTATTATAATTTTATTACATTATAATCACTTTAAAGAAGAAACCGAAAAACTGATAAAGAATTGTATTAAAATGTATTCATAACTGGAATTTTAATTAAGAACTGTGTGTGTTAATTTACAATTATACAGAGTGTATTTTTTTTTTTTGTACTATTATAAGTGAATTTTATAAAATAAACATGATTCATGGTCATACTGCATTTTTATTAATTTATTCATCATCTCAAAAAATGAGTAAAAATCGACAATTTCCAGATAAAGGGAGTTAACTTCAAAATTGCACTTCTTTAAATCATAAAATAAATAAGAAGTAGAGGTATTAGAATTCGTTTTACTACTAAACTGCCAATGAAGTAAACTGGACGTATCATATCTTTTTATCAGGAATTTTACTGTGAAATAAGTAGTAAGCAAAGGTGTAAAGCATTTGAGTAAATGTATTTGAATAAAAGTATTCAAATACTTTCATTGGTATTGAATAGTATTTTTAAATACATTTAATAAAAAGTATCTGAGTAGTATTTTAAATACAATTATTTAGTATTTAATACTGTTTAATATTCAGTACTATTAATATACTTTTTTTTTCTAATTTGCTAACCGTAACACAGCAAGCAAATTAAACTCAGTCAAAATGAAAATTGAGAATAATTCTCTGTTATTTTATATGTTACATTATAGTATAACATAATTATTGTGCTTATCTAAATGCTATTATGTATACATCTATTTTTAATACATCAGTTGAACCTACAATAGCCTATTGCAGGTTCAAATGATTTACTCTATTGTCAATAAGACATACTTTACCGGTTTTTACACATGTACTAATATTTATTTTTTTCACTGATTAGTCTACAATAATTAATTTTATTTACCTCTAACATAAAATATCGAAAATAATAAATGAGTTCTCTTAATTTAAGAGTACTCAATATTTGACTCAAATTACCCTCTTGGTAATTATTTAGGTGGAACCTTTTGCTCTTAGTTAAAATAAAAACATTATTATTATTTTTTAATTGTATTCTTAGTATTTGAAATACTTTTGTAAAGTAATTGAGTATTACTCAAATACTTTTGTATGAAAAGTATTCAAATAGTATTTTAAATACATTTTTTTTTAAATATTTGAATATTATTTAAAATACTTTTTAAAAGTATTTTTTACAACTATGNTATTTGAATATTATTTAAAATACTTTTTAAAAGTATTTCTTACAACTATGGTAGTAAGTATAACTTGTCTTCATTTTTGACAAAAATTAATTAGGCCCCTTTTTTTCGGAAGTTGTCAAAATATTAATAATTATTAATCTTTATTTAATTTTATAGACTAATTCAAAACTCAATATTTTTATATACCACCAATAGCCTACAAATTAGCTTAATTTCGTACTAAGTGCAATGAAGTTCCTTTATATTTGTGTATAATTTTTGTAATAATTCCTCTTAAATTTATTTATAGATTTTGTTAATAAATCAATTTTTTTTTAATTTTAACTATAATTTTTATTTTTAATAATTTTGAAGCATGTATTTCAGTATTTTTTGGCATTTAAGGCGCAAGGTTTGCTATTTATACTAAAATATTTTTTTATAACACTTTTTATGATCATATTTTTTTTGTCCATACAGCTAAACTAAGATTGAAAACTGATTTATTACATTTTAATTATTTTTCTACATAAATCTTAGGTTAATCGACAATATCAATTCTAAGTCAAAGTACGTAACAATTATTTACTGACTGAAAAGTTCTTGATAATGTTGACACGGCCCAGCGTCACTTCGTTATAGGTGATGGCCCGCGACTCGTGCCACTTTTATCAGCCGTCGCCCTACTATGGGTATTTGATTGACCATCATTGCGTGCCATTAGTGCTCGTTATTTCACGTGNACGCCACTGGGCAAAGTCAACAAGTGCCGAATGACCGACGACGACCCGCCGCAAACAAGATAGCAGTCTTCTTCCCGTTGTGCTAACCTTTTGTCGCCCGAGGATCACGCCGGGCATCGCGTCGTCGATGCCAGCGAAAGTGCCGCGATATTATGCGAAGATTATTATTATTGTGTTCATCTTTTCGGTTTGTTTTATTTTTTTTTGTTAAAATAACCTGTTGTTGCTCATTAATAAACGGCCCGCGGGTCTCTACCCTTAAAACCAGTGTCGACCACATTTTTGCGACAGGAAGAGTTTGTTACTTGAAAAATTAAAATGATGAAAACATTATTATGTTTTATAGTTCTAGTTATTATTGCTAAAAGTATACAAAAACCTTTCCCGGTAAAAATATGATACATAAGTAATTTTGAATAATTATAATTATCTTTATCTTCGTTTTTATTATTATTATCTATAATTATTGAAGATAGTGATGAATTATTATCTAGTTAGACAAAATAAAGTAAAAAATATTCGTATTGATTAAAAAATTTCATCCTATTTTGAAAAATTGGTTTATTAACGAAACTATCACAATTTTTTTTTCTAATTTTAGAAACATTATAGTAGTTAGTACAATATTAAAAGTATTCAGGTTAAGTTTGTTTTAAGCATCAAAAATAAAGAGAGAACACTATAAAACCAAGAGCTGATTTTGTAGCTAGAGAAAATGCTTGTTCAGATTGTAGTAATTATACTTATTGACTAATATAATTTTTAGATAGAGGCATCAGTAGGGTAAAAATGGATATACTGCGAGGATGTAAGACCATCGCACGGAGCTGAACGCGTTTCGGATGTCCAGGCTTACCGCTACCCCGAAGCCCTGCTCAATTTTGGCCCTGAAGGCCAAGTCCCTGAAGAGGGAGACTACGTCGTCCGTGAACCTTCCCCTCCTAAAACCGAACTGGCCCTCGGCCAATCCGCCGACGTCAGCCAGGTGGGCCTCAATCCGGGTGATCAGTAGCCGCTCGAAGATTTTCCCCAAGTCGTCCAACATGCAGAGCGGTCGGTACGACGATGGGAGACCCTCGGGCTTGTCAACCTTCCACCTTGCGGGGAATTCACTCTCCACGAGGCAGCGGTTCACGACGGCGCGTATCCTATCCGGGGCGAGGTCGTTTACCAACCCCCTACCCGGTTTGGAATCACGTTCCACGTTCGCAGTGTTCGGACCCCACACGCACGCCACCTCCCAGTTCCACCAGTGGACTTGCGGTCTGCGAGTCCTCGGCGGTCATTTGGCCGGAAGAGCAAAGTTACCGGCTGTGATCACCCTTCGGTTATACTTGTCCGCCACTTCGCTCGAGTAGACCTGCCGGTTTGGTACCACGTCCATACCCGGAACGACCCGCCAGCCAACTCGTCCACCGCGGGGCACATCTCGCGGGGGACGGCTTCCGTGGCCGCACTCGTACACGATGTACCGGTGGTCGCTGAAGTTTTCCCTGTGCGGGAGAACCGACCAACCGGTCACGTGCAGGTGCAGCGACCCAGCTAATGGCATTTGTGGGTTATTTGATAAGTTTTTACATTTTATAGGGAAAACCATGGAGAACATGCAGAAACGCATCTGCATTGAGCTAGTCTCCAGTCTTGAACGTCTAAGCAAGCTCGTAAACCAACCAACCTTCAACGACTGTATCAAATACGGCGAAAGGTTGTGCGCCGTCATAATGGACACAAAGATTGTCAAGTTTATCAAACCAATATACGTCGGTTTAGCAGTGGTTGACATTAGCAAGACACTTATGTACAAGTACTTCTACGACGTATTTAAATCACATTATGGCAACACAATCGAATTGGTTTACATGGATACTGGTGAGTACAACTGTACAATAGAAATATTATTTATTAAATAAGCTAATTAATTATGTGTGTTCTTTTGAGAAATATTATTTCTAGTTTATAATAAACCACTCACTTTGAACTACACATAAAACATTCTGTTTGTTGCGTAGTTTTTTAATTAAAATATATTTATTTAATATTCCTACATAAACTAATAATAGAACATAAATATTTGTTATTTAATTAGAAAAATTTTATTATTATTTCGTTTATAAGCCAAAATAGATAAGGAAATCCAGTTTTTCAATGACTTTTTTTCGTGTTCTAGTGAAATTAGAAAAATTTAGTCTACCAGTCAAAGAAAGATATTAAAAAGAACATTTAAATTAGTTCTCCCAAATTTTTTTCTACTAACTTATTAGCCATTTGAGAACCATAAGGTTTTATTATACAGCGTCCATAGAATGTAATTTTTTTTTATTTTTTGTATTAAGATTTGTTATTAATAATAGTCGAAACAATGTAATTAAAGCTCATTAAAATCTGTTTGATTACTACTAATCAATATTCAACGATATTTCTACAAAATCACTTATGGATAGTCGTAATAATCATTTACATTGATAAAATAAGAGACTTACCGATTTGAATTACAATTGTTATTTTATTATGTTTTAAATCGGTTAGAAATTCTTAACGCTATCTATTATAGTTCATGATTTTTTCTTTATTAATATTATTATTAATTTACTCATTTAACATTTTTCCATTATCTTAATTTGAGTTAAACAATTTTTTGATATTATTCCTGTGGAACCCCGTCTAGTCAAGTTTTACGATTATTATCCGAAAAGGGTCCTAAATATTAGGTCTGGCCTAGTCGGATTATTCCTAGTTTCACCTATGATTTCGTCCGCTGGTGTGATATTGAATTTCATTTTAACCTAGAGGTTTTAGTTAATTTTAAATAATTAAAAAATTAATTACTGAATATTTTACAGATTTGTTCATGTCTTCATAAAGACGTGGATATGTTTGTACAAGTAATTAATAGCTGATAAATAAAAAAATATATGTGTTTAAGATTAAATCAATATTGAAAATATTAATTTAAATCTAAAAAAAAATTTTAAATATTTAACTGAAAAGTCACAAAAAATTACGATATGTATTTAGGAAACAATATTTCCATCATCAGCGCTAAACACATTCTGACACACCGACCGAAAAAACCCTTATATATCCTAGTAACGTTATTATTAATAATATTATCACATTTTTATTAGTCAAAATTATTAGAATACACCCTAAAAGATTACTCTGGATTACTTTGGAAGTTATTCTCTTTTTTATAATTAGGTGGGAGTAATAGCACGTTCGGGAATTTACTAGTGATAAAAAACATTATCAAAGCAAGTAATTATAAGCTGATAAATTAGAATAATATGTAACTAAATGAGAATTCATTTTTTTCCAAAATTATATTTATTTTGCGAGTAATCGAGTGGTTTATGATAAATCGATCATTCTGTACATTCCTACAACTAAATGCACAAACATATCCCTTTAAAGTGGTCAAAACAAAATTTATAAATGCATATAAATCTGTTCCTTCCTTATCATAATAATATATAATAATCATAATATATTTATATTATTTATTATAAGCTCTTATTTGTAAATATGAATATTTTCATATCTCGTTGCATTTCTTATCGTTTCATAATATATAGTTGATAAATAAATGTTCGCTGATAAGCAATGAGTTCATAACTTAAAAAACGTTAGATTTTTCAACGACTAAAGCTAGTTTAAATATTATAGTTTTAAATAAATAGAAATTAATGTTAAAAAAAAAAAAAAAAATTTCTTCTAATATTTGTTACTTATTAATAAATTGTGCATTGTAAGTGACATTGTATAAGTAAACATTTTACATTTATAGTGAAATTCTTACTTAAAATAACTAAATTAAATAGACATATTTAATTTTTAAATTTTATACATTCATTTAAGTTTTAACTAATTATTAATTGACTTATTTACTATAAATTATTATAGGTAGGTAAATTAAAAATGAGTTTTATTCAAGAAAATGAGGATGTTAACAAAACACATATTGATGCTATAAAATTGTTGGAAGGAGCATTACAAAAAATGGATTCTATTATATTATCAGGTATTATTATTCTTTATTATAATTTTAGCAGAATCATGATTTTAACAGCATCTTACCGAATTAAAAATAATTATTTTATTTTTATTATAAATATAATAGAATATTTTGTATCTTTGTGTAATTAACAATTTGTCAATTTTTTTTATTAATATTCAACTATATGAAAAAAAACTGATTAAAATTGTTTTCTTTCTTAAAATAATTTTTAATATTTACAGTTAAAAAAATCAAATAAGTTTAATTAGAAATATTTTAAAATAATTTATTCAATATGATTTCTGATATTTTTTCATTTAGAATTTGATATTCATCTTTATAAAATAGTTTGAAAAAATGTTTAGTTTATATTAAACTTAAGTTAAAATTTTTTTATTCTAATCATTTAATTTGAAAACTTCCTAAGAATATTAATGTATGTTACAAGAAAGTTTTTTTTAAAAAATAAAAAAATATTTTTATGTTGAAATTTCCTATTTTCCAACTCTTAAAGAAATACTTTATGTGCACTTATATAAAGTATATATATTAATATTTAGCGATAATATGTTTTTCACATAATTTAAAAGAATTATTTAAAAAAAAATTGTAACATATACCAATCTATTAGGGAAGAGGTCCTTAGAAATTTTCATTTTAATTATATTTACATAGTTTATTATATTTAAATTGTTTTGTTAATATCAGTTTTATAGATCACTTAAGCATATAATCATATAAAGCATATAAAGGTTTATCTATACAGTTTTAATAGTTTTTTATCATTTTATTTTAGAACCTACAAACACTCATTTACCTAACAGTCCTGATACAGACAAAGTTTCAAATAATAATTTGGATCAAGTAAAGATATATTATTTATGTATTTCATTATTAATTAATATTTTTATGTTATATAGGATGGGATAGCAAAACAAACAATTTTAAAATTGCTATATAAAACCAAAAATTTGTGTTTTAGTAACTTTTCAATCATTTTAAAGTATTAATATATTTTATTAAAAGGTTGTTCGTTTTTCATTAATAAGAAAAACTATTAAGGATACTTTAAAACTTGGGCATAACAAAATGTTTAAAAAATGATACCATCATGAATATCCTAGGAAATTTGTATACTTCTTTTCATATCCTTAGTAAATGTAGAGTCAATAACAAACTTAATTACTAAAATACAGAGATATCATGGTAGGCTTTCTTTTTAAAGCCTCTATATCTCAAAAAGTAATATACTAAAATAATAAAAGGTCTATAATGTTTTTTATGGTATAAAAGTGAAACATTAAGAAGTTATTTCATGGTACAAAAAAATGATTCAGTATGCACCATTATGGAATACCACAATTTAATATAAGCACATTGTGGTATCACAAGACTACAACTTATTTAAATAATATGTGTTTAAAGCTAGTACACCTTGTTTGAAGTTTTAAAAGTTGATGAATATTAAATACTTAAATATATAAAACACAATTTAACAATTATAGATCCTAACTGAAGATTAACTAGGCTTGAGTTATTTTTCAAAGATATTAAAATTTTTAATATAAGTATATAAATATAAATTTTATTATAAAAAAAATGTCTTATATTTTATACCTTTGTTATTATTTAGAAAAAAAATGAAAATTGTGAACACTTGGAATCATTTAAACTACAAGTGTCTATGTTGAACGATCAAGTTGATATTCTTTTGCGAAAATTAAATCATCTTGAAAAATATCTTTCACAGCAAAATGAATTAAGACTGAAAGCTGAAAAAAGACTTTGTGAGGTATAAAATAAATTTTTATTTTATCAATACATTTTATGAAATAGACAAGGAAGTGTTTTGGAGAGAGATGCATGAGGTGATGCAAGGGGTACCTGGTAATGAGGATGCGGTGATAGGTGGAGATATGAATGGACATGTAGGTAATGAGAGGAAAGGATATGAAAGAATACATGGAGGGTATGGTTTTAGTGGGAAGAATGAGGCTGGAGAAAGAATCCTGGATTTCGCAGTATCGTATGATCTTGCTGTGGTTAATACTTATTTTAGAAAAAGGGAAGAACATTATATAACTTAGAAGAGTAGGAGGAATAGATTACAGATTGATTATTTTATGTGGAAGAGAGAGAGTGTAAAGCGAGTTAAGGATTGTAAAGTTATACCAGTCAAGAGTGTAACTACACAGCATAGACTGATGGTAATGGAGTTTTGGTGTACCGGGAAAAGAATATACAAAAACAGAAGGAACACGGGAGAAAAATCGAAAATCCGTTGGTGGAAATTGAAAGTGGAAAATGAAAAAGAGTTTGTCAAGACGATAAAAGAGAGGACAGTGTGGAATGTCGAAGGAGACATAAATGATGTGTGGAATAGATTTGCTAGTTATGTTAAGAATATTGCAAAGGAGATTGTTGGTGAGAGTAGGAGCAGAATGCTAGGAAACAAGGAAACCTGGTGGTGGGATGAGGATGTTCAAAAAATCATAGAAATTAAAAAAAATCAATTCAAAGTATGGCAGAAGAGCAAAATGAGAGAAGATTAGATGGAGTATAAATGCTTGTGCAAAGAAGCCAAGTGTGCAGTAAGTAAGGCGAAGTTAAAGAGGTATGATGAATTGTATCATAGACTAGGAACAAAGCTAGGCGAGAAAGAAATCTATAGACTTGCAAAAGTAAGAGAGAAAAAGACTAAATATTATCATTATGTAAGGTGCGTAAAATACTGATAATAGGGTACTCTTGAGTGATGATGATGTGAAAAAAGGTGGAAAGTTTATTTTGAAAAATTACGGAATGAGGAGTATCCAAAAGAGACGTTAGAGGATATCTCGTGGAATGAGGGACTGGTAGATTTAATTAGTGAGAAAGAGATATGGGAGGCTGTGGCATCAATGAAAAAGAATAAAGCAGTAAGACATGAAGTGCCAGTAAAAGTATAGAAAATATTAGGCCATGTTGGCATAAGGTGGTTGAAGGAACTTTTAAATAAAATCTTATTAGAAGGGAAAATTCCAAATGAATGGAAGAATAGTATTGTGGTGCCGATATTTAAAAGGTAAAGGTGACATACAGGAGTGTGAAAATTATAGAGGCATAAAGCTTATGAGTCATAGTATGAAAATTTGGGAAAAGGTAATAGATAAGAGAATAAGAAAGGAGACATCGGTATCTAAAAACCAATTTGGATCTATGCCTGGTTAGTCAACAATGGAGCCAGTCTTTTGTATGAGAAAACTAATAGAAATATTTAGGAAAAAGAAGAAGGCGAGGACGTGATTGGAGAGGTGGAGAGTTTTAAGTATTTAAGGTCAGTTATGCAAAAGAGCGGTCCGCAATACCACCTGGTATTGAAGAGGATGTAAAACACAGAGTTAAGTGTGGGTGGTTGAAGTGTAGAGAAGCGTATGGTGTGTTATGCGATAAAAGAATTCCAATGAGGCTGAAAGGTAAATTCTACAAGACTGTAGTGAGATTAGCTATGATGTATGGTTCAGAGTGTTGGACGGTTGATAAGAAAGTAGAGCAGAGAATGAGTGTAGCAGAGATAAGAATGCTTAGATGGATGAGTAGAGTGACTAGAGAAGATAGGATAAGGAACGAGCATATAAGAGGGAGTAAGGTGTAACGTCAATCGTGGATAAGATGAGAGAAAATAGACTTAGATGATTTAGTCATATAATGAAGATTGAAGAATCGGAAACTGTAAGAACAGTTATAGAAATGATTGTTGAAGGAAGAAGAGGCAGAGGAAGACCAAAAAAGAGATGGATAGATGTTATTGAAAGTGATATGAGGACAACTGATGTGAGCATAGAGGATATGAGAGATCGTGTCAAGTGGAAGTTTAGGATAAGGGTAGCTGACCCCAAGTAGATGGGATAAAAGCAAGGAAAAAGAAGAAGAATAAATACATTTTTTAGTAAAAGATTGAAGTATATATATCTATTTTACTTTAAAACAGACAAATAATAACAATTGTATTACTTAATTATATTTATATACTTAAAGGAAATTGATGCAAAGTCAAGATTAGAAATTGAAAAACTGGAAGCAATGGCATTATTAACTAATTTAAAATTGGAAAATGTAAAACTGTCTAAAGAAAATATGGAATTAAAAGAATTACTTATAATCAACCTAAATGTAAATGATAATTCATTGATAGTTCCTAATACTACTAAAGTTACAGTTAGTATAATTCTATTTTAAAATCAAATTATTTTTCAATAGCAATCATGAACATTTTTTTAGCTGAGAAGGTATTGGTTTTGTGATCATATCTATCTATTTTTATGTCTATCTATCAAATTTTTATATTAATGTTTTTAATTAATTTTTATTTATAATTAATTTTTGAAATATAACATAAAAAAAAAATTTATCAATTTTATATCCTACTATTTCCTGAACTTAACATGCTACAGAAATTAGTGGCCCTCTTTCTCTTATTAGAGATTTATAGATGGTTCTTGACTAGGCCAATGATGAATGGTATGAGTATTACACCAGAGACCAGACACTACCAATGAAAAAATCACAAGAAAAATCTCATTGGTACCCTGTGGTTCAAATCCGGAACTCCATGTTTCCGAAAGATACATTTCTACCCATTAAGCCAGGTCAACCCCCAATTGAAATATAACATATTAAATCATTTAAATTAAAATGAATAAATTAGTCATTAATTTTTTTTAGTGATTTTAATATCATTAATACATTTAATGATTAATCATTTGTGTTTATTAAAACTTTCTGATTTTTGTAGAACTCTAATTTTCAACGATCAAAAAGCCATGGACCACGTTTTTATAGTAGTTTACCAAGACATATTTTATCCAAAAACAAAGAATTGAAGGATAATGACAATAATAACATAACACCTTTAAATGACATTACTGAATCATGTGCTAACTTATTTGGTAATAGTTCTCAATTCGACAAATTTTCTTCTGCTCCTAATCTAAGTAAGTTTCTAGATTCAAGTTAAATATTTTTTAACGTACAATGTTTTATTACTAAATTTTTTAGTTGATGTTGAAATCAAAGGTCAACATTCACAAATTTCTCGAAAGAATCAAAATTATCTAATTACTAATAGTAATTTGCTTCAACAAAAGTAAGATTTACTTGCTTGTAAATTTCACCTTTTTTACTTTTTAAGATTATCAAATCTTAAATATCATATGAGTCTATCTCAGTTATATAGTAATGTATTTAGGAAGCATATATATATATATATATATATATATATATATATAT